GCTTGAAGCTCAGAGTGTGGGATTCCAGCATGAGACTCCCCTTCTCTGGTGCGTGCTTTCTCTCTGGTGGGTGGTTCCACGTGTCTCTGTCCAGTCCTGGTTCAGGAATTGATCTTCAGATAGATAACTGTGGAGGTATCGCCTTCCCCTTCAGCAAGCCTTGAGAACTGGGAGCGTTCAACTGTAGGTAGTCGTAGGTTTCCAGAGTGGCTGTCATATTCAGAGCAAAAGCTTCCGTTTGAGGGCACTGCTGAATGAAGGTAGGTCCAATTCTGTGGTACATACAGCTATGACCGTCCTGTGTGAGCCAGTGGTCTTGGGCAAGTCATATCAGTTTTGAGTTTCCTCATCTGTTTAAAAAGATAAGTGTGTTACAGTAAAACATTGCTGGGCTGGGATATAGCTCAGAGGCACAGTGCCTGCCTGGTTGTGAGTTCGATTCCCGGTACCAAAAAATAAAATAAGGACATCAGCATCCCTCACTTTTCTTCTACCTTCAAAGTTGGAAGAGAGTGTGGTCTCTGCAATTTATTATCCCATGCTCTTAGGTTGTTTCTAGTAAAACTCGAGCAAAATACAACCATTTAATGATACATCAAAAAACTATATATAGGGGCTGGGGAGATAGCTTGGCGGTCTAAGCACCTACCTGGCAAGTGCAGTGACCGGGGTTCAATCCCTGGTACCACATGCTGAGCTGGCCTTGGAACCCCATCGGCACTGCCCCAGCCTGGAAGCCGGGTGTGGGGGCGCACATCTGTAATCCCAGCACTGGGGAGGCTGAGACAGGAGGATCACTACGAGTCTGAGCTGCATAATGAGACCCCGTACCAAAATGACAAAACAAAACAAAACAAAACAAAATAAAAAACCTATATATAGGGGCTGGTGAGATGGCTCAGTGGTCTAGAGCACCTACTTGGAACAAGCTTGGCAGGGCACAGGGACCGCGGTTTGATCCCCCAGCACCACATGCCAGCCAGACCCGCCCCCTGGTGGGCTGAGCTAGTCATACACACACATGCATGCGTGCACGCGTGCACACACGCACATAGATAAAAATAAAATTTTTAAAAAGTATATATAGTACCTTTTTACATATACCTTTACTGTCATATCTATGTTTATATGTGGATAGATGCAGATGTCTATATTTATGTTCATATGTGTGTGTGTGTGTGTGTGCTTATTTTATTATTCTAATTCATGTAAGTAAAAACATGACGGTATTTGTACTAAATCACAACCTGAAGAAAACAAGTTCCAAGGGTCTTTATTCCCACTACTCCACTTCTGACAGTACCACCACCACCCCTTGTCCTAGCTCACCCAGTTGGGGAACCCTGCAGATGCCGTGGCTGGCACAGGCTGTGCACGCTTGGGGAGACTCTTGTCTCTCTCCCCCATCACCTGTACACTCCCTGTCGCCTCAGATCCCACCAGCATGCTTCTTGCCTTGTGCTCCTACATTGATTGCTTTTGGCCTTGGTGGTTCTCCTGCGTCCTCTGCCTTGAGGAAGTCTCCCACGGCCACCCGACGAGCTGTGTATCAGAAACGTGCCCAACACTGTGGAGCCAGGAGAAAGCTGCAAACCCTGGTGTCAAAATTTCTAGTTCATGCAAACAGCTTAATCGTTCTTGTTGATAGATTTTATCATAAGAATATATTATACATGGAGCTTTTTAGAACCGTTTGGAGGCCGCAGATGCAGTGGTAAGGGCACAGATTTTAGAGACAAGACGCTTGGGACTTGAGCCCTGGTTGCTGTCCTTTCGTAATCACATGGCATTGGGCAGGGTGTCTCTAAGCCATAATTGTCTCATGTGTACAAGGGGCCTGCTCTCCACCAAGCTGGATATGTTTGAAGATCATAGAGAAGTGTACAAATGGGCTCAGTCCAGAGCCTGCCACAACAAAATGCTCAACAGCTGGTAGCATGCTGAGAATTAGTCACTGTATTTCATGTTTGGCCATGAAGAATACAGATCATGTGTGTGCACATTTACTTACATACATCAGAACATAGCATCTGTCTACCAGGGGAAATATATTTTCTCATCATTTAGAGATGTTTTAGCAGATTGTAGTGACAACATTTCTCTTTCTGATACATACTTGTGGCAAATTAAATTAATTCTATTTTTTGCCTTTAAGATGTGTGGCGCCTTCACAGAGTAATTTCTTGTACTTTATTTTCTCCTAATGGGAAAAAAAAATCTAACAGCTGATGGGAATTGCCTTTATGCAGTGAGACTCCAAAATGCTGCTTTGTTTTTATGGACAGACTCTTTGTGGGTGGACTGCAGAAATTCTTGCTGTTGGAAATGTTTTTAAGCCCCTGGGAAACTGAGTAGGGAAAAAAGAACTAATTAAAAAAGCTGCCATCCGCCTCCTCTAATTAACTCACATTTCTGCTCCTCGGAGAGGGCACGGAAATGTGACAACAAGGCAGGCTTCTGCGGTCCACAGTGGTCCCTGCTGTTTTGAGGCAGAGGCGGCGGTCCCTGCTGTTTTGAGGCAGAGGCGGTTTGTAGTAAACACCCCAGAGGAAGCACAAAGAGCCTTGCTGTGCAGGCCGGCCACCCCCACGCAGCGAAGGAGCTGGAGGAGCCGGCATGAGCAGTGCTCTCCCGGAGCAGGTGTGATTCCTGGCAGCTGCAGCCGCAGAGGCTTCATTGGGATTCCGGGGCCAGAACCCCAGAGCATCCTGCCCACCCTGTGCCCGTGCTGTTGGGAAAGACCAGGGCCCTTTGTGCTGCAAAGCCATGGGCTGTCAGTGCCCAGGGATGCAAAAGCCAGGGGTAGAAGCATTCAGCCTCTCTTCTTATATCTCAGCCTGAGCCGGGTGCTCATAGCATTTGTGGCTGGTGATACAGCTCTTTTGGTTACAACGAAGAAGATTTAGAGTGAGATACCAGTGAGGGTGTCTGGGGTGGGAATTTGGGGGGCAGAGGCTATTCTTCAGGGGAGATGGCTTTTGGCTCCTGGCAGATGTGGTCCCCCTGGGAATGGGGCCGGTGGCTGTGGACAGCGGTGGATAGCAGTGGGAACTCTGGGCTGCTAGCTCTTCAAGAAAGCACTGGAAAGAGGCAAGTTGGCTTTGTGCGTCTTGTAATCATTGCTTCCGATGCAGTAATGCTGGGGGGGTGGTGGAGTGGGTGAGAAATGACTCCCAGGGCTACATCCTGGGCATACCAAAGCATCTGGGCTTAATTCTGTAATCTCCTTGTGTTTTTCATACCTGTAAACAGGCCTCCAAACTTCAGGTACCTAGACCTCGATCTGTTGTTGTCCAAGCGTGGATGAATCAAAAATGATCCCTGTACACAAAAGCTTAAGCTCATTAGTATTAATGCATGTGTAAAGAGTCAGTTCTGTGCCTGTTGTAGGTGCATGAATTAAGCATTTACTCATGAAATTTAAAATGTCTTAGGCTCACTGGCTCCCATCACAAGCAGCTCTGATGTTTCTGCTGATTTCTTCAGGTCCTTGGAGGGCTTTGTCGACAGGGTGTGTGTGTGTGTGTGTGTGTGTGTTGTGTTGTGTTGTGTGGTAGTGATCTTTCACACTGATAAAATGAGTTGCCCACAAAAAAGTTATAAAAACAATATTGATGTAGCTTTTCTACAGGAAACTTATCAAATAGCTGCTTTCTCTGTCTCTGGCAGACAGTGGAGGGATTGGTGTGGCTCCTGGTGCTCTTTGTCCAATGGCTGATGGTCTAGAAGGTGGTGGCCTGGGCCTGTGTTATTGGTCCTTTGCCTCTGTAGGAACTCAGGAGCATGAGTACCTCCCAGCTTTAGGTGATGTGGCCGCCCTGCGCAGCTCATCACTTTATGCGCAATCTCACCAGGCACGTCACCTTCTGGTTCCAATCTGCATTGGAATTGGCCTGCGGAGATTAAGACCATTTGTGCCAATCTGAAATTCTACATATCCACCCTTTGGTAGTTGACTACCTCACTGCAATGAATCAGTTGGTACTTGGGTCTGTTTAAACCATTTTGAGAGGGAAGCAGCCTTCTGCTGCTGCTCTTGTCTGGCTTCCCCTGCAGGTAAGGATGGGCCATGGCTCCAAGGACAGCTGCCCTCAGGCCTCAGGCGTACCATGGTCAGTGACCGGAGGAGCCTCGTCTTCCTGGTTTCCTGTCAAGCGGACACTGGGAGCAGGTTGGGAGAAAGGCTGCCGTTAGCCTAGGGCAGGGTTTTTGCCACTGTTTTCTGCTTGTAACTGTGGTGAGTTTTCCTAGTGGACTTTCAGTCTAGCTCTCTGTGTGAAGAAGCTTCCTTGCATGTGGATTTTCTTGCAGACCAATGAGAGTCGTGTTCATACCGATGTGGTTGGCCCACCACGTTGTGACTTGTCTGGCACAGCCTCCGCTGGCTGACGTTCATTCATTCACTCACTCATTTGTGTATTCATTCATTCATTCATTCATTCATTAACAGATTCAATCACTACCTTCTGTTTTAGGCTCGGAGGTCATGAGATAAACAAGGCTGGCTGCCCTCCTGGCATTTTCAATTTAGTGGAGGAGAAAGAAGTAGGATTATGAAGTGAATGAATCTATGCTAACAGCTTAAGAGAAATGCTGGGAAGGCAGGGAAGTAGAATGGTGGAAGAAGAAGGCAAATAGAGACGCAATTTCATAAGCTAGAGATTCCAGGGGGTGTGAACACGTAGACTACCTCTATTTGTTTTTGACTGAATTGATGAAATCATGGATACCAAAATGCCTTGCGTGTGTTTGCCACTAAGGTGAGAAGTACGTGTTTTGAGTTGAGCTAAGTTCAAAGAATATGCCATTTGGGTAAGATCAAGGGTTGTGAGATTCAGCTTTGGGAATTATGCCATCAGGTGATGTTTCTTACGTGTTATCCTGAACAGTTGAATCATTCGGTGGGCCCGAGTCCTCCGTCCCTGGGTCAGAGTTCTCCTTGCTCAGCAGAACTGCCTTTGGCCCCTGTCTAACCTGTGTTTCTCTTCTCTCTTCACCAGGAGTTCAGACTCTGAGGAAGCATTTGAGACCCCGGAATCAACGACCCCTGTTAAAGCTCCACCAGCCCCACCCCCACCACCGCCCGAACTTATCCCAGAACCCGAGGTCAGCACACCACCAGCCCCAGAAGAACCAGGTAATGAAGGGTCAGGAGTCCAGAGCAGAGTGCCGTGCCTCTTCCTGAAGCTCTCCTTGAGCCACGGAGCCACCCCAGAGGACAGATAGCTGCCTCTAGACAGTCCACATCCTGCAGCCATGGGGTCCCTGGGATATGGTCTGTGCTTTGTGGCTATTCAAGAAGCAGACAAAGTGAGTTGTGCTGGGTGTGTTTTTCAGAATTTTATCTACTTCTTTGGCTCAGAGGACCTTTCGTCCCAAATGCTCGGATGGGTTTGAGGACTGTATAACTGGGAAAGGAAGATCGCTACAGGGACTTAGATGCCGTATTTGACACCTTGCTCTGGCAAGAATGCTGGTTCTAGACGGCTTGTGTGACTCTGTCCTTGAATTCCAGGAGCCAAGATAGCAAGAGAAGAGAGTTGCATCAGTCTCTGCTGGTTGATCCCTCATTACCTTATCTTAACTTTTTTTTTTTTTTAATTACTTTTCCATATCCTTCCTCTTCTTGTATGACTTAAATACCGTCAGGTGCCAAGTGGGTATGGTGAAACTGGGGTGTGGAGCGGATGTCCTCCGCACCTGTGTCCCACTCACATGGCTCCATACCTGTTGTGTCGGGGGCTTGGGGAGCTTGGGGATGAGGGTGCGTCTGGTGGAAAGTCTGCTGTAAGGGGCCAGGGATATAAGGGAGGCAGCTCAGTGGCATAGGACCCACCTGGCAAGCGCACGGTTCTGAGTCGATTTCTAGTACTGAACAAAAAAAGTCTGACGTGAGCCCTGGAGGAGATGCAGGCTGCCAGAAGTGGTCCTTTTGGTTGCTCAGAAGCAGCCAGTGCTGTCCTTAGACCTGGACAGATTGGGACCTTTCCCTGACCTTCCCACACCCAGTTCCTACCCAGATGGTAGGACTGCAGAGCCAGCTGCCTCTAGGCCACACACTGAATGCCTTCTAGCAGCCCCTTGCAAGGGCCGTCATCTCCTTGCCAGTCTCCAGCCATCTTTCTGGGGTACTCTGCTTGCCAAGGAACCAAGGACAGGGCTAGAACCTGCAGGCCTGGTTGTCCACAGCCTGGCTTGAGGCATCTTCAGGTGAAGGATGCGTTTGGCAGTGGAGAAGCAGATGGACTGAAGGCAGGACTCCATTTGTCCTCTTGTCATGACCAGGAGCCAGGCAGGCTATAAAATACAGTAACATTTTGGCCTTGGTAAAAATTTTAGAAAAAAAAAAAATGAGTGGGATTCATTTTCTCTGTCCTGTGTTTGAAGCAGGCCGGTGATTGAGAAGGATGTGTGTCAGGGCTTTGTTCCTAAACAGACAGGCTCCTCTGTGCCGTGGAAAGAGGGCATATGTCTTCGCTGGTGTCTGGTACGTGACGTTTTCATATTCTCTCTTCTGACAGCTCATCTGCCAGCGGCCGGGCCTGCATAATGCTGAGTCAGTGCAGATCCGGGGCTCTGAGAGGATGACGATTATCTCGATTGTCTGATTTTGTGGTGGAGACGAGCCAGGAAGGCCGCTTACGCCTCCTAGAGAGTCATTTGTATTCCCTTCGCTATTCCTTATAGTAATACCTGTTAAAAATGTGTTTCCCAGGGGCTGGTGAGATGGCTCAGTGGTCTAAAGCACCTACTTGGAACAAGCTAAGCTAAGCATAGCACAGGGACCATGGTTCGATCCCCCAGCACCACATGCCAGCCAACCCCGCCCCCTGGTGGGCTGAGCTGGCTACACACACACTAAAAAAAAATAAAAATAAAAATAAATAAATAAATAAATAAAATAAATAAATAAAAGGTCTGTTTAAAAAAAAAAAAAATGTGTTTCCCCTATTATTTTTACAAATTTGCCTGCAGTTTCTAATGGAAAGTAGCTACATACCAGAAGCATTGTAATCCTTAGGTCAGATTAAGGCCTGTGTAGGATTTAGGATTTTCCCTATCAAATGCCCTAACTACTCCTGGGAATGGTTTCTTTCTTCTTGGTGCTGTTTTTCTTCCTTGTGCCTAACTTCCTCTTCAGCAGAACAGAGAATAATCTGTTTTTAAACACACACACAGCACCCGTCTCCTTTCCTAAGTGGCAGTTAATAAACAAATGGGCATTATAGGGGCTTAAGGGATAACTCCCACCAGGGAAAGGGTTGGACATGTTGATTGTCACTGAGTCACCCCCTCCCTTCGAGCCTTTGATTATGGCCTTTGGAGCCTTTGAACAGGGAAGGCGAGGACTTTATGGTTCTCCTTGAAAAGCTGCAGTATGAAGTCAATAGCATGAGGATTATACAATAAAAAGACATAAAGGTGGAATTTGTTTATTCGAAGCCCCTCTGGAGTACCATGTGTAAAAGTGTATGTGATTTGCTGCCCTTGTTAGCAGCTGCCTCCCAGAAGTAGCATTGAGCGGATCTGCAAGGGGCATTGCAGAGGCGTGAGGGGGGCCGCTGCGCTGGCCTGTGTATGGGCTGTAGGGGAGGACAGGTTTGTTCTGAGAAGCATGGCAAGAAAGGCCAGGAGAGGAAATCTGTTGTTTACGTTTCCTCTACAGAGTGCTTGGAACATTGCTAAAGCTGCTGAAGGAACCACATGAAATAACAGATAAGAACTTTGGCTGTGAATAAAGACATGTTTCCTTCTGGAAGCCTACACTTGATAAAATAGTCACTCGCACAGTGTTGGCTCCTGTCATTGTGTTTGTGCTCTCTGGGACAAAAGGACAGAGGCTACATCTGCCCCCACCTGGGGTGGGCCAGGACTCGGCTCCTCCAAGCCCAGTTTTCTTATATGTGAATGAAGAGAATAACTTGAGAGTTCCTTTGCCTCTGACCACCACAGTCCTGTGAGTGGAACACTTAAATATGGTGGAGCAACTGTCATTACAATTCAGATCTGGCCGCTGGAGACATAGTGCAGTGTCCAGGACCTTTGTGTGTTTCATCTGCTGCCCACATCGCTGTGATGTTAGGGACCTTGGCTGTGGTCTTGCAGCAAGCTCAGCTCTCCACCCCCACTATGGCTTCTTGCAAGGTGGAAACCAGGCTTAGGCACAGGAGTGACTGTGCTGGTGCTCCTGGGGTGGGTGCTAAGCTAGCAGTCATGTGCTTGCTGTGCAGGTGTAGCTTTGTGCCAGCTGTCCTGACAGCTGCAGCCTGGGCCACATCCCAGCACATGGGATGGGGGCAAAGGTTGTCAAGTGGCAAAAAGTAGGGGGTCAGCAGGGTGCTCACCGTGATTTGGAAGCCAGCCCTCCCTCTGGGGGATCCCCCCCGGTGGGGGGTGGAGTGAGCTTGTTTAGTTACCCTTGGAAGGGATAGCCTTGGTAGAGCGTTGGTGGTAATTGGAATGGCTCTGTGACTTGCATGCTAGACCTTTCCTGGCTCCCCAGGAGTCAGTGCCCCTGATGTGGGCTGCTTCATGTTGACTCAGATAGGAGCTCAGTGCCCAGCCTAGCTGCAGAACGCTGAGAGGTTTCTGTTTTCTGTGCCCACCACTGGGAACTATGTGCTGCATACACTGTCACTTCCTTCATCTCCTCTGAGGGAGCCACACAGGCGTGCTCCCCACAGAGGCAGGAAGTCTTGTGGTTTCAGGCCAGGAATCCCAGAACCCAAGTAACTGAAGACCACTCCCGTCCTTGGGTAGGGTGTCAGGGAGCAGCTGTCACTGTGGCATGTGCAAGATTCGGGGGGGAGGGGGCATGTAAGTACCTCCCCCTGGCCAGGTACTTACATGGCTGTCCCACTTCATCTCTTAATAAGAATGTCTGGTTTATGGCTGAGGCTCAGAGAGGTCCAGCAGCTTGCCCCAGATGCATGTGCTCATAGACTGTTCTAACTGCTGTAACAAAATCCCGTAGACCAGGTGGGATAGAACTCTACTGCGTGTGTCATGGAGGCTGGAAGTTTCAAAATCGTGGCAGCTACAGGCTTGGTGTCAGTTCATGGTTCATAAGTAGCATATTCTTTCTGTGTCCCCACATGGTGGAGGGACAAACAAGTTCTCTGGGGCCTCTTTTTATAAGGGCACAAAGCCCATTCTTGAGGGCCCTGCCTCTGTGAACTCACTTCCCCAAACTGTACTTTTGTCCCCCCAGGCAGTACTAGAATCTTGTAGGTTGAAGTTAAACTGCCAGCCCTCCATGGCAAGACTGCACATCCTAAAATGTCCATAGAGCTGAAGGTAATTCCTACAGCAAGAGTAGGCCTCCTGGTCCATGAGAATGTGATTAAAAAGTGTCTGTTCTAAATAGGAAAGCTATAGTAAGTAGACAGGGAGGTTTTTTTTTCCTGAAGAAACAAAGAGCAGATTGTTAAGCTAAGTATCTGCAGGATGGTTGTATGCTTTGGGGAAACTGCATCACTGACATCTGAAGGCCACTGAGGTACAAAAATTGGGTACGAAGCTCAGACTGTCTCATCCTCCCCAGTGCTGGGATTATGGGCGTGCACCAGCATGGCACGGGATACTGGGGATTGAACCCAGGTCCTTGTGCTTGCTAGACAGGCACTTAGGCGGCCAAGCTATCTCCCCAGCCTCAAACCAGGGTCTTTGGGAAGCTCCATGAGCAAAGTCTGCTGAGAGCAAAGTTTGTAGCACTGTGCAAAACGCTCACCACCTGGAGGCCTGCAGGACAGGCACGAATGGCTCTGAAGAAATCTGCAGTAAGAGGCCAGGTCAATTAATGAGGACTTACCAGACCTTGCTGGGATAAAAAATAGGGCTACCAGACCAAGCAAATAAAAATGCAGGATATCTAGTTAAATTTCTATCTCAGGTAATACATAACTGGGGTCAGCTGGCAGGATAGCTCAGCAAATTAAAGCACCTGCTTAGGCAAGTTTAGGCAAGTGCAGGGACCACCCTTCAATGCTATTCGATCCTGCACCACCTGCCACATTAGCCCCACCCCCAGGGTGGGCTGAAGGCCTAAGTGAGTGGCACATGCCTGTAATCTCATCACCGGGAAGCTGAAAGCAGGATCAGCAGGAGTCCGAGCTACATAGTGAGACCTTGCAACAACCAAATACACTAAATTAAAAAAAAAAAAAACTGGGGTGTGAGTTGAATTTATACTAAGTGCTTTATTTTTTTTTTTTTTCTGGAATCCAGATTGAACTAGGCATCTTGGACTTACCTGGCAGTTTTACCATGAGGGAGCAGAGATAGCACCTGTCAACACACAGTTCAGGGACACTGTCCTATTGTGTTAGTGCCACACTTTCCTGCTACTCCTTGCTACACATTCTCCTTGCAGTTGGCCTGTGGACCACTTAACATTTGCCCCATTTTATCAAGGGACACCTTTTTAAAGTTTTCTGGAAAATCATCTTTGGCTGCTCAGAACAGCTGGGAAACCAAAATGCATGAAAAATGCGTCCTGGTACAGATTCCGGAGTAGCCAAGCCAGGGTCCGGGCTGGCTGGATCTGCTGGGAGCAGTGGGGCAGAGAGATCCTGAGTGTTACTTGGCCAGCATTTCAGGAATGCACAGCGTGTTGGAAGTTGAGAGCAGCCTTCTTGGCTGGCACTGGCTGAGCAGCTGGGAAAGTTGGGAAGAAGCCAGGTAGAGAGGAGTGAGGTTTGGTAAGAGGGAAGGACAAGCAAGGTTGGGTGACGGTTCCAGGTGATGTCTGGAAGAGCAGGTGGCAGAGGGCAGGCTCATTCCTGCTGGAGTTGCCATAGGCCTCCGTGTTGTGGTTCCCCTGTTCCTTCCAGTGCTAGCGGAGTCAGGGACATGCTTGTCCGTGGGAGTGCCTGAAGGCTGGCTATGCTTTGCTTGTCTTACTGCTTTGTTTTCCTGTTCTTCTGTTCTACCTCGCTGTCGCCACACGTGACCTTTTCTGCAGCGCACGAGATGCCGCCGCCACAGGGCCTTTGTGCTTGCTGTTCCTTCTGCTTGGAATATTTCACCCTCAGAAACCTTCCTGGTTCTGTCTGTCTGTCTGTCTGTCTGTCTGTCTGTCTGTCTGTCTGTCTGTCTGTCTAGCTATCTATTTTTGTTGTTGTTACAGGGTCTCACTACTTAGTTCAGACTCATAGTGATCCTCCAGTCTCAACCTCCCCAGGGCTGAGATTACAAATGTGCACCACTGTGCCCAGTTTCAGGGTTGGTGAGGTACACCTGGGGGTCTGGGTGTGGAACGGCATGTGGTGCCAGAGGTCGAACTCTGGGGGCTTTGTGCTTGCCAGGCAGGTGCTTAGACCACCATGCTATCTTCCTAGTGCTAGCTGTCTCCCAAGACCCCTCTCCTGGTTCTTTCCTCTTTTTTTTTTTTTTTTTTCCTTAATATATGTATTTTATTTGGTACAGGGTCTCAACACTCAGTTCAGACTCATAGTGATCCTCCTGCCTCAGACTCCCCAGCACTGGAATTAAAGGCATGCACTACCACATGTAGTCTTGATGGCCAGCTTGGTACGCCCAAGGTGGGGCCGATGGGAATTGAACTTGGGTCCTTGCGCTTTCCTAGGCAGGTGCTTAGACCGCTGAGCTACCTCTGTAGCCCTTTTCCTTCATTTGTGGTCTTTGCTCAAGACCAGATGGCCATTAACCTACCCATCTTAATTAAAATTGTGACTCTTGTCCTGGCCCTGTTTCTTCTACACACACGTCACGGTCAGGCAGTTTGTGTGTTTGATGGTTCAGTTGTTTATTCAGTGTCTTCTCCCTGAAGACTGTGACTTCTGGAAGGCAGAGCTCTGTTTGCTTTTGTTCATTCATTGTGAGTCCCCAGCATGCCACCTGAACCCAATCAGACACTTGGCAAATACGTTTTTCAAATTATCTGAGCTCGTTCTTCATTAAGCCTCAAGGCTCCTGTTTTACAGATAAAAGAACTGAAGTAAAACTGCCCAGGGTTGGGCTGGAGAGATGGCTCAGTGGTCTAAAGCACCTACTTGAAACAAGCTTGGCAAAGCACAGGGACCGCGGTTGGATCCCCAGCACCACATGCCAGCCAGACCCGCCCCCTGGTGGGCTGAGCTGGCCACACACAGGGTTGGGAGCTAATAAAGGATAGGTCTGGAATCTGGACCCACGCAGGGTGTGCATTGTTGGGCCTGGGGACTGGAATTTGTCAACCTCTGCTCTGGCTGACAAATGCTCCCGAGTGTCCTGTGTCCTCAGATGACAGCTTTGTCCTCATTTCCGCAGGATGCAGTTCTGAGACGGTCACCATCCCTGATGGCCCGTGCAGCAACTCCGTGGAAGGAAGTCCTTTCCGACCTCCCCACTCCTCCTCTGCCGTCTTCGATGAAGACAAGCCGATAGCCAGCAGCGGGACTTACAACTTGGACTTTGACAACATCGAGCTGGTAGACAACATTCAGAGCTTGGAGCCTCGCCCCTCAGACTGCCGGGGCCAGGACTGCAAGGGGAGTGCGCGCAGGAAGTCTACGGAGTCTGTGCTCCCTTCCAAGTCCACCCTGTCCCGCTCGCTCAGCCTTCAAGCCGGTGACTTTGACGGTGCTTCCTGCCCAGGCAGCCCTGAGGCTGTGGCCCTCGCCCCAGATGCCTGCGCCACAGGGTCCAACAGCGCTTCTAGTACTCTCAAGCGAACTAAAAAACCAAGGCCACCTTCCTTAAAAAAGAAACAGACATCCAAGAAGCCCACAGAAACGCCCTCAGTGAAAGAGACCCAGCAAGAGCCAGTTGAAGAGAGTCCTGGCCCCTGTGAGGAGCAGGAGCAGCTGACAACTGAGACAAAGACGGAGGTGGCTGTGGCCGAGGGCTCGGGGTCTGTCCTCCCGGAGGAGACACCCCTGGAGCCTGCTGCTGTGCCCCAGGCCGCTTCTCCTCCTGACTCGGACTGTGTGGACGGTGCTTGTCCCCCAGCTTCCGGAGGTGGCAGGGTGCAGAACTCCCCTCCTGTTGGGAGGAAAACGTTGCCTCTTACCACGGCCCCTGAGGCAGTGGAGGTGACCCCGTCAGATAGCAGGGGGCAAGAGGGCTCCCCGGCCAAAGGGCTCTCGGTGAGGCTGGAGTTTGACTATTCTGAGGATAAGGGTAGTTGGGACAACCAGCAGGAAAATCCCCCACCTTCCAAAAAGATAGGCAAAAAGCAGGTTGCCAAAATGCCCCTGAGGAGGCCAAAGATGAAAAAGACACCTGAGAAACTTGACAACACTCCTGCCTCACCTACCAGATCCCCAGCCGAGCCCAGTGACATCCCTGTTGCCAAAGGTACCTACACCTTTGATATTGACAAGTGGGATGACCCCAATTTTAACCCCTTTTCTTCCACCTCAAAAATGCAGGAATCTCCCAAGTTGCCCCAGCAGTCATATAACTTTGACCCAGACACTTGTGATGAGTCCCTCGACCCCTTTAAGACATCCTCTAAGACCCCCAGCTCACCTTCTAAGTCCCCTGCCTCATTCGAGATCCCAGCCAGTATTGAAGCCAATGGAGTGGACGGGGATGGGCTCAATAAGCCCGCCAAGAAGAAGAAGACGCCCCTGAAGACGTAAGTGCAGGGGTGGTGGCAGGGAGGGTGCGGGCGGGGTGCATGATGCTGTGGCCCTTTGGTCTCATGTCTCGGATGACCTTCAGCTGCCTTAACTGCACCATTAGCGAATGATACCCTGTTTGTGACCCTTTCGCCCGACAGGCAAGGTGTACTTTGTTTCTCGTCTGGGCTGCCATGGTGCTGGCATTTTGCCATCCACAGACCCCTTTGGGGAAAAGAGTCGTTGATCTTTTGCATTAAAAAGTCAGGGGTCACTTGGGAGGTTGAGGCAAGAGAATTCCAAGTTTGAAACCAGCGTGGATAGCCTGGAAACTTAGTGAGACCTTGTCTCAAGGTAAACAGTAAAAAGGGGTCAGTTTTATACCTCATGGAGAAGGCCCTGGATTCAAGCCCTAGACCTGGAAAAATCCAGAAAGTCAATAATCTAAAGCTGTACTTTTAGCCAGAGACTTGACATTCAACTCAGGGGCATGTGGGAGGCCATAGTCATTAAGACCTTGCCAACCACCTGTTTGTGTTGGTCCTTTTCCTGTTAGAATATACATGGCAGCCAGGAGGTACAGCCTGTACAGTGTTGTTAAAATTTATAGCATTTGTTTCTGTCTGTTGAGACTTTAGCCCAAGAATCCAACACAGTGCAGTCGGCTCTAGCAGGGCCGTGAGAGACACACGTAGTTTGGACCCCACTTTGAACTAGTTCTAAGAACTGGGCTGTTTGTATCCGCCCCCTCTGGTCTTCTTTTGGAGACAGGAGTTCATATAGGCCCTAAAAGCCCAAACAAAGCATGATGAAGGAACCTAAAGCCAGAAGCAGACCTTACGGTCCCAAGGAAGCCACTAATAAATGAGTCTGTTGTCCATAGTTACTTGCTCAGTACATGGCCCTTAAGTGTTATGTTCAAGTCTCCAGCAGTCAGCATTCGTTCCAAGACCCAGCTCTAACTTGGATGGCTGCGGGTCTATTCTTAGGACCCTGGGCCATGAGCGCTGTGCGGACCACTTGTAGACTTTCTACCTCTTATGGGAAGCATTGACTATAATGTAACAAGGTCGAAAAAAAGGAGTCTCCCAGGAGCATTGTAACTGAACAGGTCTTAGTACTGGCCCCTCTGAGTCTACTTGACATGAACAAGACAAGCGTGGCCCATTTATCTCCCAGTCCAGTGACCTCAAGCATGGACCCTCTTCAGGATAACTTGGTACTTCCTCAGAGTTGTTTCTAGAGCAGACTTCGATCGTAGGTTACACTACCACTAGGTGATGGTGGCTGGGAGACCATTCTGCCCACCCACCCCCCCAAAAAAAGTGGACTTTTCTTAGATTAGTTTCCCAATAGGTCCTTACCAGTAATTTCATACAATCCTATTGGAAATCTAATTTTAAGACTTGCTGGAAGCCAGTGTCTATTTGCAAAGCGACTGTTCTCACTTTTGGAATAAGAGTTGACTTGTAATCACCACCCTTCCCTGAGATAGCCTGCTTATCAAAGCCTGTCCTTAGCTGCTTCCTCTTTTGATCATGAGAGCTAGCAAAGGTCAGGGAAGCTGACCCCACATCTCATGACATCATCCCTAGTGCACGTGGACTGTTGTCTTGAAAGCTCCTGCCCTGATAAAACTCTTAGGATTCCAACACTGAACCATCAGAGCCTAGCGAAGAAGCTCTTGTCCAAAGGTCCCTTTTCAAAAAACGGGGATATTGTGGTCCTCCAGCCAAATCTGCAGCGGGTGACTATCCCATCCTGACCTGCTAGGAACCAACTGTCTGCAGATCTATCTTTTTTGTCAGTTCCTCTGTCTGTCTCTCTTCTCTTTGTCTTCTTGTCTTAGGATGGTTGAAGATGTGATGTCTGTGTGTTCTCTGTTGTAAGTACATTTAATGCAATTTTCTTTTTGTGCCAAATGTGCTTCTCGCCTGCCTTTTGTTTTGGCTTGCACATCCTTCCCCCCCCCCCCATGGCTGCTATGATGTATGTTTGTGCTAGGCCTGGGAATGATGGGGCACAGGGGTCCCCAGTAGCATAGGTTATTTCTCTTTTTCATAGTGATTATAATTGCATTAGTGAGAATGCTTGACTCTGAAAACATCATCATCCAACATTTGCCTGCTTCTTGGGAATGGAGCTCTTTTTCCTCTTATATATTGAATGTCTTCATCTGAAACCTCAACATTTTTTGAACCCTTCATACCATTCTTTCATTTCAGAGTGGGCTGGCAGGCGATTGCGTTCAGCAGCACTATGGCTTTGCAGAGACCATCCAGTAAAAGCTGGGGCAGGGCCTGCCGTTGCTTGGTCTTGCTCACATATGAAGTAGAACCATTTGGTCCGCTCCAAAATGAGGCTGCAAGAGCTCCTTGAGTTACGGAGTTGGCTCAGAATGGAGCCTATGGCTGAGAGCCATCGCCGTGCCGCCCTGGGCCATGTCCTTGTCACTTAAGTCCAGGCTGGGTGTTGGCATGCCTCGTGTGTCATCTGCAGGTCTCCTTGCCAGGCAGCAGTGCAGCTGACCTATGTGCCCCTGCCACTCTGCCTCCTCTGGCCAGGAGGGGGCTTGTGAACAGCTCTCAGGGCCCTAAAGTCATGAACCTGCTCCCTGTCCTTTAAAGGGAAGCTGGCCTGGCCCCAGTGTATGGCAGTCCCAGGGTAGGGTGGAATCTCTTTTCTGCCCAAAAGATTGCTTTAGTATGTTCAAACCATTTTACAACTATGGAATACACAGCTGTATATTTATATGCATGAATAAATATAAGCCTGAAGCTGTGGTTGCACTATTCATATTATACATGCTATAAATAACCATTTTATTACAGAGTAATTTTTTTCACGGTTAAATGCCATTTTGGAACGTTTTATTGGAGAGAACACAAAAGAAGGGACGTGGTGCCAGATTGTTCTATCAACGTGGAAAGCATGGGAGGGTGGTGGGATCTAAAGCGGGTGAAGCCCTTGCTTTGCTGGGCGTGAGACCCTGTAAGGGCAGGCTGGTGACCAGCAGGCAGGGCTTGGAGAGAGCCTGTGTTCTGCCCGGAAGTGGCTGCCTGCCTGGTGGACCCAGGAGTGCCGTTTCTGCTACAAGTCACAGTTTCTCCTGGGGTCTGCTTCCTTGACCTGTCTTATCTGGTGTTCCTCCCCTCAAATTATCTACATGAAAGAGAGAAAACAGTCATTAATCTTTGTCTGTTAGCCATAATCTCATCACTGACCCTGCCTTTGGTAGGAGTCCTAACTAGAATCGTTCAGCGCTCCGGAGTCCTTTAAACTCAGAGTTGGTGTGAATAGGAAGGATTCTGGGAATTCTCCTGAGGACCCAGAACTTGCTATTTATGCATAGAATCCTTCAGCTGTTCATTAAGTGCTCAATCTCCCCACCCATGTGAAAATTGGATCCTGTTAATTAGTGTCATGCGCTCACAGCCCTTCCTCCAGCCTTAATTGGCTCAGGTCATCCTGGCAGGATCCATGTACGTTAAAGTGCTCACCAAAGTTTGCTTTATGAGAGAAGAATGCTTAGTTATATTTAGCTTCATGGGGAGAAGGGTCAGCGCTCCAAATGCCACCTCTTTAAAGCTTTCCAGCTTGATGGATCTTTCCCTTGGGAGAAAAATAATACCTGTTAAAAAGTCAGAATGAATTGTTGGTATGGATGTCTTTGATTAGAGTAGGCAGACAGGAGGGTGGCCTGGGCAGACAGCTTGGCAGAGGCGGTGGCTTCCACCAGCTCTGTATTGCTTGAGATGTTCTGTAGCTCTGTTTGTTGTGTTTACATTTTGCATTTTGTTTCCAGTGACACATTTAGGGTGAAAAAGTCGCCAAAACGGTCTCCTCTCTCTGATCCACCTTCTCAGGTACAATGTTCCTTTGATCTTTATGGTTTTACTGCTTACCCAGAGAGTGTTACCGCAGGCTGCAGAGCTCTCCTTCCTGCCTTATGTGGGCATGTTCCAAAGGCCCTCTTGCCCCTGCATGGCGAGGTCCCTTGGTTTTAGTCATTGTTTTGGTCACTTTGGCAAAGATCAGGATGTGTCCTGAGAGGAGGAGTATTTCATGGGAAATGGTGAAATTGGATTCTGCAGAGGATCTGTTCTAGTACATTCTGTCCACTTGCTGAGAACTTTTGCAGTTATCAAATTAGAAAAGTCTTTTTAGATCAGTGAGTACAGAGTAAGATGTGAAACTGAATATGTGTCAAAAGCACCAAACTATGGCCCTAAATCAGAGTGGGAAGGTGAGGGAACCGTACCGCACAGAGCAGGGGTGCTTGGGTTGTTTATTTATGAGTCTCTGTTTCTCACTTAATAGTTCAACACCAGAGACATGTCGTGTCTTCTGTCCTCTGTATAGACTGAGGAAGGTTATCATCAAGTAGATTTGCCTTCCCATTTCTAGGTTACAAAACAAGTAAACTCCTATCTCTCCAAGTCAGATCAGCCAAGTCCTAGCCCTGAGACCTGGCCCAGGTCAGGGCTCTGAAGGCCCTGGACCTGGTGCCCTGAACAGGGCACTGACTCGCAGCTCTGCTGTCTCATTCCGGAGTCCCACCCTGCCCTGTCAGCTCCACCCTCTGCTGTGGGGTTGGCAGTGTCGCACCCTTTTTCTCCTTCTAGGGACTGGCACGAGGATGGTCAGGTGATATTGATGACGCTGACTTTCAGGTCCGTGCCTGAGCATCACTCAGTAGTTACAGGAATGAAGTCAGCAGAAAGGTCTCGGATCACCAAGGCACAGAATCCAAATTTTTAGGGGTTAGCCAGATAGCTCAGCAGATTAAAGTGCCTGCTTAGGCAGATGCAGGGGCTGGAGTTTTGATCCCCAGCCTGCCTTGCTGGCCCTGCCCCTGGGGTGCCCTGAGAAGGCAACTGAGACTGGGCGTGGTGGCATGCATCTGTAATCCCAGCGCTTGGGAGGCTGAAAAATAGGAAGGACCACTACAAGTTTGATCTGTATAGTGAGACCTTGCAGACCCTGTACCAAATACATTTAAAAAAAAAAAAAATCCAGATTTTTATTTTTAATCCATGATTAGTCTGTGAAACAAACCATCCAAAAAGGAAACTCATAGAGGGAAGAAGGTGTTTCCTTGGGGTGATCTGGAGTTAAGTCTAAGGCGAGCAGGTAGAGGACCTCGATGGGGACCTCTCATGGTCCTGGGGCTGCAGACTCGTGGGTGAGTGTGGTTTCTGATCAGTACCCAGAATGAAAGAGGAGACTGCTCTTCTTCTCCTTGTAGGACTGCACTCCAGCAGCCACCCCGGAGACACCGCCAGTTATCTCTGCAGTGGTACATGCGACAGATGAGGAAAAGCTGGCAGTCACCAGTCAGAAGTGGACGTGCATGACGGTGGACTTGGAGGCTGACAAGCAGGACTTCCCACAGCCCTCAGACCTGTCCACCTTTGTAAACGAGACCAAATTCAATTCGCCCTCGGAGGGTAAGCAACTTGGTGGCCTGCTGGACCACCACCCTGCCTTGGAGAACACTGCCCTTAGGGAGCAAAAGGCCAGGAAAGACACCTTTCAGCCAGGTAACTGTCACATGGGACCGCACGCCTCCCAATGCACTGGAAGCTAACACAGCATATGACTTGAAACTAGCTATCCCTTGACCCCACGAGGCTCGCTAAGAAGTAGCCCAGCACCTACTAATCCAGGTTCTGAGCGTTCAGTTGAGTTTGCTTATCTTTGGCTGTGTGGCTTAATGTGATTGGCTTAATGTGGCTGTCTGTGATTGGGTGGGGGAAAGGGCTTAAAGGAAGTGCTCACAAGAAATGCTCAGTATAGTTCACTGCATCTGGGGGCCCCTTAGTGTCATCATTTTGGGGGCCCCCATTGGATAGAAAGCATAGCTATACCTTTTAATCAAGTCCCAAACCAGAGGCTCACCACAGGCTTGCTTAGGAGGACTTTCTTTTTTTTTTTTTTTTTTGGTGGAACAGGGGATTGAACTCAGGCCCTTGTGCTTGCCAGGGAAGCACTTATTCCACTGAGCCATCTCCCCAGCCCCTTAGGGGGACTTTATTCCCCCGCCCTATGGTACTGGGGATCGAACCCAGGGCCTCTGCGCTGACCTACTTACCCAGTCCTATTATCTTTCTTTCTTTAGAGTCTCATCGTGTCTCTGTATTGCTTGGGCTGGGATTGGCTCTTCAGTCCTCTTGCCTCAGCCTCCCAGCACTGCGATTCTAGGCATGTGCCTGGCCAGGTCATTTTTAACTGTAATTCAGTGCTTAACCTGGAAGTTCTTCCATGCTCAGGACTCTTAGTGTTCTGCTTGGTGCCCGTAAGTGCATTTGGGGTGAGATCTAGTTCATAATAGAAACAAGTGTTCCAGATTTCGGGGTGCTTATTTACTTTCCATATAAAGCTGCCTAGCTTTGTGTGACCGTGAAGAGACGATTCATATGTATTCGGACGTTTTGGGATTTTATTTTGTACAAAATAGAACCGTTTGGTTAGCCGTCAGGTTGCCCCTGTGGCCTGGCGTTTGGGAGGCCCCAGAGTTACCATCTCACTCTGGCCCAGTGACAGTGAAACTTTTGGAGCGTTCACTGATGCCAGCCGCCCACGGGGGCATGTGCACTGTAGGTTCACCACCACTGCTTTGGCCTGATGCCTCAGGCCACATCCTGCAAGCTCAGCCTCCCTTCCATCCCTGGTTTTCTCTGTGCCCACACCTGAGCCACGAGCCTCACCTGAATGAACAGCCTTCCCCCAGGACACCCTTTGCTAGGCTGTGGCCACCACCTGCCCTGCACCCTCCTTCCTGTCTCCCACCCATGCCTGTCTCAGCCTTTCCCTAGACATCGACTCCCTGCTCTGCTTGCCTCTGCTGCTTGTCTGGGCCAGCCCGGAGCCCTTAGAGCTGCACGGTGCAGATGCGTGTGCCCTTCTTATTTCCCAGCTAGCCTGTGCTTTCTGCAGGCAGGAACCCTGGTACCTGTCTGTTGCCCATGGCACCCTGAACATCAGGGGCTAAAGGCAGGCTTGAAATAAAGGAAATGCAAGCCTGGCAGGTGAGCAGCTTAGTGCCAACTCAGTTGACTTGATCTTTGCAACAGGTGTCACCTGAATGAGGTGACACGGAGGGGTTTTATGTCCTAGAAGCAGCAGAGGACATTGTGGCATGAGCACTGCCCTTGGCATCTGTCGTGCCTGTGGTTTTCTTCTCACTCGCATCCACTGAGCTGTACAAGAGACTCCTAAGCATCACAGAAAACTATTTCAAAACTCGTTTAGTCTTGGCACTGTGGATAAGAATAAAATCACGTGACTCTGGGTCATGTCTGGCTTGGTTTTATTAAAAATCAAATACATGGACTTCTTTCCTTAGACTTAAAAAAATCTCAGTACTTTTTAAGCTAATAAGTTGGTGCCTGATTGAGTGGTACCATGTATCTGTTCATCTTTGCCATTGTCCTAAAACAAATGTCTCACAAGCTGCATGTTCAACAAGCACATAAATACATGTAAGTTCGAAACACACCTCTCTTAAACCTACCTCAGAGAAGACACGATGAAGGTTTGGGGGTCTCGACTACAAGTGGGCTGCTCTGCATTGTCGGAGTGAATCAGAACACGACCACTACTGCGATAAAAACTTTCTTATGCGGAAGTCACTGACCACAGGGAAATGAAATGAGGTAGAAATAATAATTACTGCTTTCTGATCCAACTTCATAGGTAAGAGCAGGAAAGCAGTTAACTGTCCGCGGTTCAGCGCATCCCTTGAGTTGCGCTGAGTCTCTTACATACATGGTTTTATTTCCTCGTCTCAGCAGTCTGATGAATTTCTATAGCTCCCTGCTTTAAGAATGAAGCTTGGTGCTGTTAAGCGACCTGCCCTGTGTTGTGGGCTGCTCTGTGCAGAGCTGGATCTGTCTGACTTCACAGCTGTGTGCTTTCCGGCTCTGCTGTTTATGTGAGTGCTGACCAGGCTCCCTGCCTTCCTCTGCAGTGTGAGGCTGTGAGCGCATCGAGCCTCCACTTCTAGGGGCCCAAGAGCATCGTCGAAGAGCTTCGTGTTGTCTTTAATATTTCAAAAACGGCAGGGAAACTAGAAGGAAGCCCAGGTGATTACAATAGCGCATTTGTGCTCAACTACACCAGCTCTCTGGGGCAGCTCTGATATGCTGCACCGTTCAAAAACTCAGGTTGATGAATACAGACACACAGCCTTGTGTAATCAGTGCCCTTCTCTCATGTGGCCTTTTCAGACGTGGCCCGTGGTCCCTCGGGGCAAGGGGTTATCTAGCCTCTGAGAGCTCCCTTGTCTCTGGTCTAAGAGGCCCTGGCAGAGCAGTTGTGAGAGTCACAAGTCCGCATGGCCTCTGAGGGTCACCCGGTCTCTCCATCCCCCTTCAGCCTTGTCAGCTTCTTCCCACTGCCCAGCAGAGGGGAGTGTGTCCTTGGGAACGGATCCATTTGAGTGGGGTCACGATCACTGCCCAACACAGGGCCAGACATTGAGAAGGCAGCGCTGAGGCTGTCGGGGACCACTGCGTCTTTCCTTTCCAAAGGGCTCTTTTCTTTTCTCCTTGTGATGTCACTTACATTAAAAGTTCCAGAAATATTAGCAATGAGTAATAATAGCAGTGAGCAAAATAACAAGAGCTGTCAATCCCTTACATTTGTATTACCTATTCTACAGATTTGACTTTGTACTATTTTATTTTGTTGAAAAAAGTGGCACTTTGGGCTCCATTTTATAAAGCAGTCGCGTGAGTTGGTTTCTCTTTTCTGGGAAGGAAGACCTGTGGCTTCTGCTCCTGGCGCTTTTCAGTCCCCCAGTAAAGCTCTGGCAATTAGAGTCAGGAGAATGGCAGTAGGACCCTGTGTGGTGCCCGATCAACATAATGGCCAGAGGCAGTCCTTGAGGTGAGGGGACCCATACAAAATCACTTTGGACCTGTTCAGCTTGAAGCAGCCACAAGCTACAGCGAGTGAGCTTCTCTTGAAGGAGTAAAACAAATGTCCCACTTGGCGCCATTGGTGTCTTCCTTCCTGGTCTGCCGCCGGACCTGGCCAGGCTGAAAGTGAACACACTCCACCCCAGGCCTAGTCTGTGCAACTTGGTATTCATAGCAGATGACTAAGATTTCATAAAGCCAGTTTCAGTAAGGTGTTTCCTCAGGATATCAGCGACTATCCTGATGACAGGCAGAGGCATTTATTTTCTTTCCATCCTATCCAGGCAGTTGTGTCAGTTACAAATAAGGATCCCATATGGCTGTGGTTAGAAGTAGCAAGACATCTTTTTTTTTTTTTTTTTTTTTTTTGTGGAACTGGGGATTGAATTTAGGCCCTTGCGCTTGCCGGGGAAGCGCTTATTCCACTGAGCCATCTCCCAGCCTCTGGCATCTTCTGAAGGAGTGTCTCTGAGTTTCTCACTCAGGAGGGTGAATTTCCCAGGTGGAGGGTGGGCCTCCTGGAGCCAGGCCTGTCACAGATCAGTATTGGGAAGGGAGTGGTAGGGGAAGCAACGAGCTTACTTTTTGTACTTTAGGTGATTTCTCTCAAGGGAAGAATGGGAGACACAGTGCACTGGGGAGAAGAACCCCTTTGGCAGGTTGGAGAGAAGGCAGGGGGTAAGCTCAGAGACCTGCGACTCATCCGGATCTGGCTGCAGTGGAGTGAGCCAGGCTTTCTGGGGGGTACTTTACTGTGGTGAGCTGGCTGTCAGAGCCAGGGCCACAGGACCCTGAAAATCTCTTCATGATCCCTTGCTTGGGTGCATCCTGGCTGCTGTGTGCATCCTGGGCAGGTGTTGAGAGATTCTCTTAAGTGACTTAGGATTATGTAATGCATTGGCAATATTAGTGAGAGCTTGGAAGAAGCCGCTCGTTCATGGTTATCTTTTCTACTTTAGCTGTCTCTAATAAGGCAACAAAGTGGTACACTGGGGCCCCATACATAGAAATGATAGCGCCTGCAGAGGGCCTAGAAATCGCCTTGCCCATCTCTCCTTCTCCTCACTATGCCCCATCAGCTTTTCCTTCTAAGGTTAGTAGGGCATTAAGTCTTCATAAGCCAGTGCTTTTCTAGGTACTAAGTTGGTGTAGGCTTGCATGGCCGTTGGTGCTGTTTTCAGATTGTATCTTGGCGTGTGGTTCATGCGCCTATCTCTGTACAACTACAGGAGTAAACATCTAGTAGGGAGGGAGTCCTGGCCACGCATCCCCAAAGCCAGCTTCAGTCCCGTTGGCTGGAAGATGTGTCTGCTTCACTAAGGAGGTTCAGAACTTCCTAAGAACTTGTCCACATGCTGAGAAGCTTGGGTTTATGGCAGCTCTCTCATTGTGAAGTTCATATTAAAGACATATTTTTTGGTGATGGCCTTTAGCAATATGCAGAAAGATCGACCTTTCCTCTAGAATTGCTACTTAAATTTATCTTATTCAAAAAATATTGAGACCTTCAGCTTTCTGGGTTGCCACTAATACTTTTGTACAGTGATGTCACTTAACCATACTTTGATTTCTTATTAAATCGAGGCATCCGGTAGCTCGAGGTGTGGCTGCTATCCAGAGTCCTTTTCGGGTTCACTATTCACAGTGTCCACTGCTCAGCTCATGTGAGGCATACAGTAAATTGTGTGTGAGGCATTGTGTACTGGACAAGGTGCTTTGAAGTGGCAGAGTTGTGGGCCATCTAGGTACCTGAGGCAGGAAGACAGGTTTTTAGTCTTCAGTGAGTGTCTGGGATTTTCTTTGCTCCCTAATGTCATCTGACAATTCACAAGACACCATTTCGCCACCTCGTTGGAGGTTAATAGTGATTTATTTGAAAATTGATCTGGCCTGGCTTTGTGGACACTCAGAGGGTGCTGGGAAATGTCCGAGTGACTGTGAAGCTTCTCTCACGGGCAGCACTGGAGCAACAGTATTTGTCCTTCTCTTGCTTTGCAGTGGGGCTGGGGCTGAATTTGCAGAGACAAGTACAGGTGCAGTTCCAAGAAGTCATCGGGCAGTGTCCCTCCACGCTGCACATGAGAGTTACAGAATGCGGCACACAGCGCGCTGATGTGCCCATAGCCAGTGCTGTTTCACTTCCTTGGGACTCCCTCAGATGCCCCAAAGGCAGAGTCCCCACCAGCAAAAAGTCAACTAACTGAAAATAGCCGTGCAGCTGTATCCCAAGTCTCCAGTCAGTGGGCATTTCTCAAATCTTTTGCATTTTTGTCTCTGGCACTAATCTCACTTTGTGTTTCTTTGCAGAGCTGGATTACAGAAACGCCTATGAAATTGAATACATGGAAAAAATCGGCTCCTCCTTACCTGTAAGTTCTTCCTGCTGTGCCTTTTGCCGTTATAGGCAGGCAGGAACCTCTTCTGCAGTTGTGGAAAGGGCTGGTGTCCTCTGCACCCACAGCGTGGAGAGGCCCGATGACAGTGAACTGGGGTAGTGGGGGAGTTTGAGGGTCATACTCCGTCCACATCACATTTTCAAGCAGAAAGGCAGAAGAGGATTAGGCTTCCTGCAGACTTGCCTAGACTCAGAGAGCATCGGAATTCCCTTGATTTGTGAGTGTCATTAACTGTCTTCTAAATTACGGTTGATGCGCCATCTCCACAGGTTCCGTATCTGGCTTCAACCTTAGAGCACAAATAGCGTAAAATAATTCCATCTGTCCTGAACTTGTACAGACTTACTTTCTTGTCATTATTTCCTAGATATTACATCCTAAATTTACATAGCATTTAGATCCTATTGGATATTGTAAATGATCTAGAGGTGATTTAAAGTATATGGTAGGATGTGGGGGGTTGTACTCAGACACTACACCAGTCTGTGTAAGGGATTTGGGTATTTGCTGGGCTTCTGGAGCCAAGCGTTCACTATAATGGTTGTAAGCAACTGATCCTTTGGGTGGTAACCACCGCCCCCAGCCCCCACCTTTATTTAAGTGATTTTACAGGTAGCTGTCTTTCCTGGCTTAGTGAGTACTCAAGCATTTTGTTCAGGGTGTGGCCTCTTTCTGTGCTGTTGTTCAGTGGTGTCTTTCAGGCGGGGGAGGAGGTGGGCCAGAGACCTTGCCATGAGCACACTAAACGCTCCTGGACGGGTTGCTCTTGGCTCTGTCTTTCTGTGCATTGTTCATAGATACAAGGTTTGCTGATTCAAAACTGCGGTAGTCTTGAAGGCTGAGCGGGAAAGTGTACCCGTGCACAGACTAAAACCAGCTTCCCCGTACAGTGCGTGGGCTTTGTCACTATCTCTCAGCGTATCACTCAGAGTGTCTGCTTCCCTCATGGCTTGCAACCCGGTGGTTGATGCCATGTATGTGATACCAAGGGGGAGACGTGAGTGGAACATTCGTGTGTTTTGATTGTTGGTTTAATGGGATCAAAACTACCAGAGACCCATTCTTATGCACCACACCTGCTCACCCAGACCTCAACAGGCCTCATGCATGGATTTTGTAAGGTGTCTACCTTACCTGGGAGGCACACAGCCACCCAGAGATTTTGCGATAGTGCAAAACATGCTCACTGGCCACAGGAGTGGGGGATTCTGTGGTCTCCCCAGAGTGCAGAGGTCACTCAGGGGCTCCCCATCACTAAGAAGTACCAATCCTTGTCTCTGGGCTCAGTGCACATGGCTGTAGGGGTTTAGTCTTGATCCCCCCTCTGGCCTCTGGCCCGCCCACTGCCCCACTTGGCTCCACACTGCACATCTCTGTGCCCCAGGCCGGCTGGCTCTGAATGTGCCGGGACCCTCAGGCTCCTTGCCACCACCCACACCTTGCTGTCTGCTCATGCCCTTCTTGCCATGGCCCACTGAGAGACATCTTTGTCCCTCCAGCCTAGGTCCCTGGCTCTGTGCCTCTTTCCAGTGCTCATCCTTGGGTCACCAAGCTGCTCTCTTCACTTGACAGTGGGCAGCCCCAAGCCAGAAGCCTGCCTTAGTCCCCCATTTATCCTCTGTGGCCAGCACAATGAGCCAGAGAATGTGGTCAGTAAGCACTGGTGCCTGAGCAGGGTCAGCAAAGGACACTCTTCGTTCTCTCTCCCCTCACACACAAGGCCACCTGGACTTGGATGCCTGTTCCCACCACGTCCTTTCCTCCCTCTCTGCCTGTCTCTCAGCCAGGCCTTGCTTTCTTCTTTCAGTTCACTTGAGTGAAGTGAAAGCTTTTCTCTGGTGAGTTGTTTGACCCCACGGGAGAGTGCCCTGGTTTTCATCTTGGTGTCATGTTCCGACCTACTGTACCAAGCTGATGTGTCCCTTTGACCCCTGCAGCAGGACGATGACGCCCCGAAGAAGCAGGCCCTCTACCTTATGTTTGACGCGTCTCAGGAGAGCCCTGTCAAGTCGCCTCCAGTCCGGATGTCAGATTCCCCAACGCCGTGTTCAGGGTATGGCTTCCATAATGAGCGCGCTACCAGTCAGGGCAGCGGCCCCAACGCTCTGAGTACTTTCCCATTGCTACCCTGGCCCCATTCCCTGCTGTATATTCCGAGCGCCCAGTTTCAGTCTCTGTCCAGCTGGGCACAGATGCCTTCCTTGGTTTTGTTACTAGGCTCTTTGTACTAAGGTAAAATTCCTTTAGTAGCTGATGTGACCCCCATTACACCCCCATCCGCACACGTCTTTCTGTCATTTGTCCAGTGGTAGGCAGCATGACACACCATTCAGAACCTGGGTCCCCGCTTCATTCTTTACTAGCTAAAGTGAATTGCTCACCATGTATGCCTCAGTTTCCCCAATTGTCAAGTGAGGGTAAGAGATTGAACTCAAAGGTACTTAAGATAAAAAAGCGTTGGGGGCTGGGGAGATGGCTCAGTAGAATAAGTGGTTCCCTGGCAAGCGCAAGGGCCTGAGTTCAATCCCTGGTTCTGAAAAAAACAAAGATAAAAAGGCCATTAGACTCGAGTGCCCCCTGTACAGTGGGCACAAGGTACCTGGCTTCTAGAGCAGTGATGTGGGGGAAATCTCTTGTCAGTGTTCCCTGTACACGTACGAAGCGTGGTGAGTGGATGTCACTGATATGGATGGCAGTGTTTGCATCTGGAAGGGTTCGGGTTGTGAACGGCGCAATGTTTGGGCAAGCATGGGCATCGCTTGAAGATTTGGACGATGCCGCCCTTGTCTGCCTGCTGCTTACGTTACGTAAGACTCAGAGTTCTTGGTTTGACTTCTCAAACTTACCGAATATGGAACTGGGAATGGTGGTGCATGCCTCTAATCCCAGCACTGGGGAGGTGGAGACAGGAGGATCGCTGCTGAGTTTGAGACCAGCCTGGGGGCTACAAAAGTAAACATAAGGCCTGTCAGCTGCATATTGAGACCCTGTCTCAGAACAAAACAGAACAACAAAAGCTTGACCCGAATTGACTGCATGTGCCCAGGGGCTAAGGTGTGACGTTACTGCGTCAGTAGTGCTGCCCTACGAGGGGCGCTGCGCTGAGTGTCGTACAGCACACAGCGCTCTAGTCAGTCATCACAAAGGTTCATTGCCTTCGCCGTAGAGAAAGGAAACGAAAGTGTGGTGCCAGTTACCTTCTCCAGAGTGCATAACGGAGCACCTTACACCAGCCCTTGTGCTCCTTAGCCAGTGGCACCTGTGTCCGCTCCCTCCCTTGTCCTGAGAGGCTGCCTGGCCACTGTAGACTTGGCCCATGTGCCTCTGGAGACACAGTCCTGAAAGTCCAGGATTCTTTGGGCTGTTGCACTGATTATGGCTCCCTGCTTGAGTCCAGTGAGAAGATGCTAAAGATGCCCTTTGTTTCCTCAGGTCCAGTTTTGAGGAGAGTGAAGCCCTTGTGAATGCTGCTGCAAAAGCCCAGCATCCTGTCACACGAGGGCTGGCCACCAGCCAAGAGCCACACTTGCAAGTGCCAGAGAAATCCTCCCAGAAAGACCTGGAGGTCATGGCCTTGGGGACCCCGTCAGAGGCGATAGAAATTGTAAGTGGAGTCAAAGGAGCTGGATGTTACTGGGGATGAGACCAGGGCCTGCTGGTGCCATCACCACCACCTGGCGCTTGCTGTGGGGTCTGGCCTGGCTCCCAGGACACAGGAACCAGCCTCTGGGCCCCCATCATTGTGAGGGCAAGGCCCTCCTACCACCAGGATGGTTTGGCAATTCCCACCTAAATGCTCTTTTTTTTGCACCTAGTGCTATTTACTTGCCATTTGTCCTCTCATGGGACCCAACTGGTCCTTCAGAGCTATCACCAGGCAGTTCTTTGCCTCTCTAGTCTATCTGGCCCATGCAGAGAATGGTAGAGCAGGCGGTGCCCTCCTTTTTGGGGATTTAAGTGCTTTTCCTCGGTCTCAGTTACAGGAGATTTCTCCTGTTGATAGGCCAAGGACCTTACCAGTGCCTTACAAAGCTAACAGACCTGACCAAAGGTTTCACCCACCCACTCCCTGCATGTTACACATGTCCTTTGGGCATCTGCAGTCTCCCTGAAGGCATGTGATGAACTATGAGGGTTTCCCACACTTACTATTTTAATTTCTTTTATCTTTGACCCAGCAATCCCCCAACAGGTTTGAAGGCATTGATCTAGTATGGTACTTTGGTTGTTCTGTAGTAGAAGACTTCCTTTGTCCCATGTAACAAATATTAAGTGAGAATCTACTCTTCTTTTCGGTAGTTGGATGCTGAATTGGAGAATGGAAATGTAATAGTGGGCAAAAAGAGGGTTAGACATGAATGACAGGAATGAGTCATTTTGTAAATAAAAACCATTAAGGGCATATGATTCACCTCCCACAGAGTTGGCCTCTGCTTTTTCAGTCTGCCCAGAGATGTTTTGTTTGAAATCATCTTTTTGTTATTTAGACAATAACCTTTACCAAAACCTTACTTCCTTTGATGTTTGTATGTAGAGCTGTTTCCTTGACGAGTTTCATTGTATTTTGAAACACCATCAGCTAGCTCACCTCCCACCTGTTGGCTAGGGAGTGAGGGTTCTGGCAGGTGGGGAGGGCACCTGAGGCTGTTTTGGGGGAGGGGGTTGGGCCTGCTAATCTCAAGATGTTCATTGTGGGCATGTGGAATTCCTTCTGGTGACCCCTGAGTACTGACGGCTAAGTGATCACTCTCTTTAACCACGAGGCAGAAATGTCCAGCGAATGCATGCTTGGTGCTTGTGTAGAATCAATATCACTCTCTGCTCTCCTCTATTTTTCTTCTGTCCTCCTTTCTGCCGGCCTTCAGACAGCTCCCGAGGGCGCCTTTGCCTCTGCTGATGCCCTCCTCAGCAGGCTGGCCCATCCAGCCTCTTTCTGTGGTGCGCTTGACTATCTGGAACCCGACTTAGCAGAAAAGAACCCCCCAGTATTTGCTCAGAAACTTCAGGTTTGTAGCCCACGTGTGACCTTGGGGGATTTGTCAAAACCTCAGTAGAGAATGAACCCCAGCTCCCAAATGAACTGAGGCAGTGCTTAACGAGAGACTGCTGAGAATGTTCCAGGTGATACGTCTTCCCCTCAAACACTGATTTATGTGGTGTGCTTTATCCAAGATGCTGAAATTATATAAATTGTGCAATTACATATTGAATGAACCATTTCTGTTTCAATTTGGAATTTTGGCTAAACAGCCATTACTCAGATGTATTGATGGCCCCAAAGGCAGTTTCTGTGATTTATTCTCAGAACCAAAGGTATTAGGTCACCATTGAGCCAAGCTGTTTAGATGTACAAGAAATCTCAGATTCCCATTGAGATAACATCTGGACTCAGTCCTATATCTGGAACCAAAATAATTATGTACTCTGTGCTTTAAATTTGACAATTTAATTTGATATCCCCTGGACTAGGCTGTTTGGGGCACATAGTCTTTTCAGAGATACGTGTCCATTTATGGAAAGTGTTGGCCAACTTTAAGAAAAACAAAAGAAATGAAAGAATACAGTGCAATAAAAATGTTGACCCTATTTTCAAAATCACTCTCCATTGCACCATATGATACCTCTTGTTAGGTATGAAAGGGCAGTTCTGTGAAAAGGTAATTGAACACACTTGTTTCATGATCTGCTGAGGTAATCACTGTGATAGCCTAGCGTGTGTTTCCCCCCGAGCACCTGTCATGACACATACATGTGGCACATTCATTTCTGGGATGTGGAAAACATGGCGTCTGTCTTGCTGCGTTTCCCCTGCGGTCTGCTCACACCCCACCCGGCGGGCAGGAGGAGTTAGAGTTTGCCATCATGCGGATAGAAGCCCTGAAGCTGGCCAGGCAGATTGCCCTGGCTTCCCGCACCCGCCAGGACGCCAAGGTACTGGTTTGCCGCTGCAGTGCACTGCCTCCCAGAATGCTGTGTGTGCCGCCGCCGCGGGCCCGGGTGCTTTGCTAACCATCAGCCAGGCGGGCATTGTGGGTGTCTCGTGAGGTGCACTTTCTGAAACACGGCAAGTGTAACTCTTGCGTAGACACTCCTGTGTAAGCTCTGCTTAGCTCAGGAATGAGAGAACTGACACATGGTAGTGCTGGCCAAGCGGAGAACAGGAAAAGCCAAAGTATAGACTAAGGTGGTAAAATAAATACAGTACTGACTCAGCAAGACTAAAAAAAATCATTGCCCTTGAAGTTGTCTTTTTTTCTGTAAATATTATTTGCTTCTCTGTGAACAAAAATAATTTGCAAGTTGTCTGTTTTCTGCAAGTTCACATCTAACTTCTCTGGGAATCAGCAGTAATTAGTAAGTGAAAGCAACACCTACCCTGAGACATTAGGCAAGATGTCGGTCGACAATCCCTTGGACAGGCCGCTGGTCCCCATTTCAGGTTTGCAGGGTACATGGCTGGCCTGTGTCGCAGCTGCTTGCCTGTCACTGCTGGACCAGTGTGGACTCAAGCAACAGTGTAGTGTCGGTTAGGAGAGTTCTTCCCTCTCCTGTCTTCCTCTTTCTCTTCCTCTCCTCACTTTTTCTTCTCTTTTTGGCCTCTTTGATCCACGGAGGAGCTGCAGGACTTGGTACAGGAGCAGATATCCACCTTCCACTGTGCTCAAAGGGCCCACACATGTGGTCTTCTTGTTGTAGACCAAACAAAGACTCCTTCCAGAGACAGGAGGTGGGCACACTGTAGGTATCCAGATGAGGATTTATGGGACTCCGGGCAGGCAGAACAGTGGAAATACAGATCAGTGATGTCGTCATTCTTCTTGCCAAACTATAAAGTTGGATTAAGTTTCCATGGAAACGAGAATTTTAGAAGTCATTAAGCAGTGAGGACCTCTCTCTCTCTCTCTCTCTCTCTCTCTCTCTCTCTCTCTCTCTCTCACACACACACACACACACACACACACGGTTTATCTCTTCATATCCTTCTGGAATGCCATAAAAGTAGAGTGAGTTGCCTAGGTTTGGCTACTGTGGGTACGCTGCATTCCTGAACAGAAGTTTGATGCAGAATGGAGCAGGTTCTGCTGAGTAGTTTCACTTGGGCTGGAAGTATGTTGGGGTGTCCTGCCTTCTTCCTCTGAGAGCATACCAGACATGGGCCTCGACAAACAAGTAAATACGAGTTGATAACCTGTCCATTACAAGCTATTCTCAGACCATGTGTCCCAGTTTTGATTTAGAAAATAGTGTCACATGGATCCACTCAGTGTGAGCCTAACCACCTCCTGGTGTATTTCTGAACTCATGCTAAGAGGAATAGTGTTTGGGTAGAGCTGTCTTGGAGTATGAGGGCATCATTTTCTACTATAGGAATTTGTATCACTTTAGGAAAATGCATTATCTGATAACTCTGGCCCATAGAAAATAGATGTTCTTTCTGTGGCTAGCCAGCCTGAGGGGCATCCTTGGGCCTGCAGGTAGGTCCCTGCAGGTTCCCTGCGCATGTAGATTCTTAACAGCACCTCACTGTGGCAGAAAAGTCTGCTGTATTTCAGCTGCAGGCTGTAGAGCCCTGTCTGGCTGTATGGTCTTGAACTGGTGCTAACACAAAAATGGAAGCATTTGAAATAAAGGATAAGCTATCGAGAGGGTGGAAATCGGCAGGAATGGGGCAGGGGTGAATCTGGTTGTTGCTTAGAGCACCTTCACCTGTCATTTCTGCTTAGCATGACAGAGCTGAGTTAGCCTTGGAGGAACTACAGCGAGGGTTCCTTTTTCACTTGTCAAAAGTCATTAGAAATAAGAGGCCCCCCCAGGAGCTGGGCTGGTGGGCTGCAGCCTCCTTTTTACTTTCTACCTACATACTTCCAGCCACACTCGGGTCCCCCACATAGTTTCCCCAGGGATGAATCTGACCACGGCTGATGCATATGCTGAACCGCAGCCCTAGGTTTAGCATGAATCAGGTTGGATAGAGTCCAAAAGTCCTGAATACGTGGCTTTCCAAGGGATGCAAAGCAGGGGCCGTTGCTATGATTTGTGTGGCCTCTGGGTGTGATCTTGGAGCTGTTGGGCCTTATAGCAATTCGCTCTAAAGGCTGGAGGATGAACTCGGTACAGTGGTAAGCTTAGGAATGGTAGCGGCCAGATCCTTGGGGAGTGGACACGGTATGACTCCTTATCTGACTCCTCTAAGAGTCCTGGTGTGGACAAGCAGGAACCGGAATTTTACATGAGCTGGAGCAGGAGTTGGGTTGAGGGAAGCTTGTGTTGTTGGCGAGCAGCCTGGTGTTGGTTCTGTCTCTTCACCAGCCACACTCTCCCACGCCATCGACAGTGAGGTCACAGAAGGACACAAGTCTGAAAGCCATGGAACGGTCTGCAGAGCAGTGAGAGAGGGCTTTCTTGTAGGTCTCAGCTTAGTGGCCAGTTTTGAGAACAAATAGTCATCACCTGGAGCCTGTGTTTACAGACTGGAAGGTTGGTGCCATGTACCTCAGACATTCTGTCCACACTCCATGGATTTAGCTTATTCTGCTGTGGCCACTGGCTGCTATTCTTGGCAGTTGTCCTTACCCCAAGTGGCCTCTCTCACGTGGTTCTCCAAGCCTAGGATCTGCACTTGGTCCCTCCACAGCCAGCCTCTGTGTGCTTTGGGACATGGACCCTGCTACCACCCAAGCGCCCAAGGTTTTTGGACAGGAAAGACCACAAGGAGGACTGTGAGCCAGGGAGGGCAACAGGACATCCCCTGGCTGCAAAGCCAGCAGCAGTAGGCCAGGCCTCTTAAGGCATGCCAATACCAAGGGGTCGTGGTGCTCCAAGGATTTGCTGCAGGTCCAGGACTAGCTTGAGAGTTGAAATTGCTTACAGAGACCCTTGCCTTCTGGCCTGTGGCCATTTTTACATTTCAGTTTGTGGTTCTACTGGCTTTTTGGAGCCTCTTTAAAGTAGCAAGTAGAAAACTATGTGAGAAACACAGCTGAATCTAAAAATATCTGATCCTAAAATATCAGTGAAAGACAAACCTTTTACTTTCATTTGAAAACATTTCTTGGTTGTAAGGAGAAACCAGACAGTGTGCTGAATTTCATAGTATGTGGATACCTGATAAGAGCCTTCAGTCAAATGGGTCTCGAAGTCATTTGTTCCTTTACTGAAAATACCAGGTGGCCACAGTGAAAAGTGACCATAAATCACTCTATAGGGTAGTATCCCTTTTCCTTTGCTTAGGACGAGCATTGTTTTATTCATTTTTCTATTCATTTCCTTGTTTTAAAAAGCTTAAAGGTCATTAATTCTTTCATTGGCAAGATTTGCTTCCTGCTCAGTGTGGCAAAGTTAGTTTTAACTAAATTAATTTTATCTTGGGCCAGTGAGATAGCTTAATGGACTGGGGAGCCAGGACAAGCACAGGGACTGGGTTCGATCCCTACCACATGTTGCACTGGCCCTACCCCCGGGCATGCTGAGCTGGATGCCGAGACCAGGTGAGGTGGTACATGCAAGTAGTCCCAGCCCTGGGAAGGCTGAAAACAGGAGATTCATTGTGATCTGAGCTGTGTAGTCAGACCCTGCACCAAATACGTTAAAAAAATTTTTTTTTCTCTGAAACTTAAGGAATCCCGTTTATTTTGGGCCACAGATGAATATTGTTTTGAGAAATCTTTATACTAAATCTCTCAGCTCCTCAATTTGTCTTCAGAATGACCAGGTTGAATTTGGTGACTGTAATACTCTTTTTTTCTTTTTCTTTTTTTCTTTTTTTTTTTTTTTTTTTTGTGGAACCGGGGATTGAACTTAAGCCCTTGCACTTGCCAGGCAAGTGCTGTTGGCTGTAATACTCTTAATATCCTTTTCATTTAAAAATTTTTAAAAAAAAAATTTTTTAAATGAACACATTTTAAAGTCATGGGAATAGTTTTGGGTTTTTTTTGTTTGTTTTGAAGCGTTTTTCAGGATTATGCACTTCCTCCCAAGTACAAATATTGAATGTTGATATCATTTCCAGTTATTTTTGAGAAATTTCTCTGTGATGGGTAGAACTATAAAAATCCTTCCAGACAGCAGTGGTGAGCCCGTCCCTGCAGAGCCTTGGGGCCTGAGCTTGCCTTTCTTCCAACAGCCTGACCTTCCTGCTGCCTGTGAGTGGTTACTTGTGCTCTGGTCAGGTGTCCTGAGGCCTGGCGGTTGGGCAGGTCCTGGCTCCCCATTGGACACGAGAGTGTCTGGGGTCTGGATGCCCAGGGCTGTGTGCTCCCAGCCCCACCAGCTGATCATGTGCAGGCCCGAGGGCTGAAGGGCAGGTGGGTCGGTGAAGTCAAGGCAGCAGCAGGAGCTCTCTTCCAGGACAGCCTAGATAATGGACGCTGCATGTGGACAACTAACTGGCCCTAACCGAGTAACCCCCGGTCCTATCCATTAAACTGAGCTTTCCCAGCCGCTTCCTTTCATATGGGCCCGTGCCTGGTGCTGTAGCAAGGATAAGCACGGAGGTTCCTGTGACACAGAGATGTTCTGCATGTGTGCCTTCTATCTACCCTTCCGTTTGCTGCTGGCTCTTTCATCTTACCTGCTCATTGTACCCCTCTCTATGCCCCCCAGGCCTTCACCACTATACCACGGTGTTCTGTTCACCGCTCAATTTATTCCTATAATTTCCCAAGAAAGGAGCAGTCTCATTCTGCCTGTTAGAGCACTACCACCTCCCGTGGAACCAGGGCGCAGGTCACCTTGGCAGCTGTGAGCGCCGTGAGCTTAATGGATAGGACTAGCGTGCGATTGGTTTGTTTCTGTTGTGGTAGAAGTAGGCTGGCAGACCTGGCCAGGTTGATGGATGATGCTCCTAACACTGCTTTTCAATTCTGCTGCAAATTGCTGAGCGTTTTGTGCTAAGAATAATCATCGTCTGCTCCTGACCTCTCTGAGGCTGGTGTCTGTCACTGTCACCTGCAGAGGGCTGGAATGCCTCACCACAGCATCAGGTGGGTGGGGCAGGGTCATCCCCTTGTTGCAGCCCTAATCAGTAAATGTGGATGTGTTGATGAACCCAGTTTTCAGTTTTCCGTTGATGCGACAGTCGTAATGACAGCATTGTTATCCACACAGTAGATAGAGCTTGCTGACGTTGACACCTACAGTAGGCCTGAAGTTTTGTGGGAATCACTCCCCTTCAAATGGATCCTTGCAAGCAAGTGGCCTCCTAAATTGAAATGTGGCCGTTCTTACCGCAGTGATCAAATCTGTGGTTGTTCAAAGCTAGGCAAATACAGACTAGAATTCAGTATCATTCACCAGCAGAACTTTCCCGGGGAAGTGGAGCCTGCTGGATCATACCCTTGGGCCTTATACACGATGCCTAAGTGGCTGGGAATCTGATAAATGGCAGCGATAGCTGGCTGCAGGCGCACTGGACTCCCAGGCTCCTACTTGCCAGGGCTTCTTCACCATCAGTGTCCCCATCTGTCTGCACAGGGACAGAATGCTGGATTCCCCCGTTCATTAGTTTTCACATCTTCAAGTACTTGGAGTGTTTTTTGTTTCAAAACTGTGCCACTAAGGATGAATACAATTCCCAGCGGGATGAATACGGTCCTCTTTGTTAGGGGGTCAGTGTTAACTGGAGTATTCTTTTACTTTTGTTTTTTAAATGGAAACTCATTCCACAGAGAGAGGCTGCTCACCCACCAGATGTCTCCATCTCCAAAACAGCCCTGTACTCCCGCATCGGGACCACCGAGGTAGAGAAGCCAGGCCTTCTGTTCCAGCAGCCGGACTTGGACTCTGCCCTGCAGCTTGCCAGAGCCGAGGTACTGCAGTATGTGTATAGTATGGTGCCTGTCACTGGTAAATATATGTATATATAGCCACAAAGCCAGTGTCTTTGGAGACAGACTTTTTCCAGTGGACACTGCAGACAAAGATGTGTGGCCCTCGGAGGAGGGGCCTGATCTCGACATCGCTTCAACAGACACGTGTGGCTTTGTTGGATGTGTAACAAAAAGCGTACACCTTCCCCGTGCAGTGTGGAAATCACATTTCTGGTTTAGTTCTGTCTCTTGCTCTGTAAGTCTCTGAATGTAATTAGGGTTTGTTCTAGAAAGGTTTACAGTATTTCTTTGATATCTCCTTCTTGATTTGGTCAGATTGGAATTCCTCTTTCTTTTCTCCTCCCTGGTACTAGGTCATCACCAAGGAGAGAGAGGTCTCCGAGTGGAAGGATAAATACGAAGAAAGCAGGCGGGAAGTGATGGAAATGAGGTGAGTCGTGGTGCTCGTCCTCCTGGTGCCCGGGGATGATGACCTGTGACCCAGTAGTGGCTGGTGTCACTGGGTCCCCAGATAGTGTCTTATGTCGGAACAGTCCTCTTTTCTTCATTTTGCAAGGGTCACATTTTACGAGGATAGTCCTATAAGACAGCTTGCCCATTGGTTAAAGAACGCAGGACAATAAATACCTGTATGGAGAGCACTCTCCGCCAGCCTCTAGTTCCACTACTCAGCCTTCTCTTGAAGGATTCATTTTCATTTGTTCTATATTATAAAAGACATAAATAGCCACCGTGTAGTACATAGCACATTTAGCTGCAATGGTGAGTGCTATTTTTTTTTTTTTAATGTATTTAGCAGTGTCCACAGGGTCTCACTAAACAGATCAGACTGTAGTAATCCTCCTGTTCTTCAGTCCTTATGTGCAGGGTTGAGAAAGAATCAAAGTGGTTCTGTCATTGGTACCTTCTTGTTGTGGCTCTGGTCAGGTTGAGGTATTCACCTTGGGATGAATGTCAGGAAGCCAGGATGGGTGTTCTGGAGCTAGGAAGCCTTCGGGCTGCAGAATGCCTCAGCTTGCATTTTGCCTCTTAATCTTACCAACCTCCACTCCCTGCCCCCCACCCTAGCCCCAGAGCCTCAGATCAGACTCAAGGGTCATCCCTGAGCAGTAGTAATGGACCTCCCAGCTCTTGATTCACAGCCATGTACCCCACGTGAGGCAGATCAGCAGGGCCCAGGCCACCTAGCCCTGAGTCTTTGTGATCTCGTGTCCTTTGGATCCTGGGTCTTTGGCCATTAGCATCTGTTGGTTCTCTTGGGAAAACCATCCCTGGATTATGTGGATGAAACTGCAGCCTTTCCCAAGGCTTCTTTCAGAAAATTGGCTTTGGAGGGAAGACTTCTCACCCCTGCTGCTTCAACTTGGGGGTAGCTAAGAAGCAGGTTAGTGAGTGGAGACTTTAGGTTTCTAAGCAGCTGCTGTTGGTGGAGTCTCCCCAAGAAGCGCTCCTTTAACCTGATCCTGCTCTAAAAGCACAAGAAGAAGCCTCGGGCCTTGAGGAGCTTCTTCTCCAATGGAGAAGACAGGGCAAGAAGCTTTGGAAGAACATGTAGAAGAAGTATTAGAATGAAGGAGAAAGCATTTGGAGGAGAGAACATTTGAGAAAGACCATGAGAGACAGACTCTGAGCGGTGGAGGTAGAGAGTAGATGCGAACATGCACAAAGACATGCAGGTGAGAAAGCCAGAGCCACAAGAGATCACTTGTTCTCGCTGAACTACCATGTCCCTGAGGTGACTGGGTGTCACACTGTTGACATTAGGTTCTTAGGCTGTGGGCAGGAAGGCCTGGTCCAACATGCCCTTCTGTCTCTTCCAGGAAGATCGTGGCTGAGTATGAGAAGACGATCGCGCAGATGATAGGTAGGTGTCCTGACTCGGTTGCTCCTACCTGTCCTGAGGTTTCCTGATCGGGGGAGGCCTTTGAGGGTGGAGGCCTTTGAGAACATGAAATCCTTGGAAGAAATAGCTTGGCAGGTGGCTCTGCTTCAGGTGGAGAGCAGGGGCCTCTTGGAACACCCGTCTGGATGTGGCTTAGAATTCCTAATGTTCGTAAGGAACACTGTGGTGGCCATCTCCATAGGCCGCAAAAGAACTGTTCACCTCATGGGAAAAGAGATTGAAGTTTGCTCCCAGATTGTTCAGGACTTTAATTTTTGCTCATGGGAGGAAATCGGAATCAAATTCCTGAATCCTATTTTAGTTTGGACTCCAGTGACGAATTTCTCCCTTTCAGCCATTACACAGGGGCCTAGGGCAGGACAGCGGAGCCTGTGGCAGTTGCCGACCCTCTCCCCTCTCCCTTCCCTTCTGTGACCGTCCTGAATTCTGCCAACCAATACCCACACACTTCCTGAGACTGGACACTGCCTCAGAATCAGTCTTAGCACAGCACCCAGGCTGCCTGCACTGACAAATTGCTGTGGCCCCTGATGGAAGACGGCCTTGAGTTCTAAGTTACAGTTAGGCCTTCACTGTCTTTGCGAACTTTATCTTGGTCTTTTTTAATAATGACAAATGCTCTTAGAGAAGCACCAAGCCCAACTTTTTACAGTAATGATCACTGTTCAGAAGTGATATTATGGATTTTTTTTTTCTCCGAATGCCTTCCGGGCAGGTTTGGCTGGCTGGAGTTGTGGGGATCGAATACAGCAACCTGAGGCTGACACCTTTGTGGAAGCAGCCACTTAAAGAACTGAGCTACAGGGCAGGCCCCGTAGAAGTGATATTATGGAGTAAAAACCTCCAAGTGCCCACAGTCCACCATTGATTGGTATATTCGAGTTTGTAAAGAAGCCCTCTCTCAGATATTTGGATTTAGGAGTCACACCCCAGACTAACCTGTCCCCAGACAAACAGAATAGTAGCTGCAGTGCAGAGGCCATCAAGTGCCTTCCAAAGAAGGTTTTTATGTTTTACTTTGTTTTTGTTTCGGGTGGTACTGGAGATTGAAGGCCCCTCACTTCACTATACCTCCACCCCTTTATTTTTAAATTTGAGGCAGTGTCACCTAAATTGCCCAGGCTGACCTTGAATTGGGAGTCCAGAAGAGCCAGGATTATAGCTGTTGCAGCAGGCTCCAAAGGGCTTTAATTAGGGTTCAGTATAATCCAGGCCGTTCATGCTGAGCTCCAGGAAAGACCACTTGGTCATGTCAGGTGTGTGCTTTCTGTCAAATGAAGTGTGTTACATGGTTTTAAGAATTTGTGGACACGTGGGGGTGAGATAACAGTATTTTAAAACTCTGGTCATTGAAACTGCTATATAAAGGTGACCAGGTCAGGGAAGGATTTACAGGGATACCTTGGTCCATGAGCGCTTCTGTTTGTAAAAAATTAGGCTCCCATACAAAGGTGTGTGGAAAAGTTTTACTTCCAAACCCCACATGGGGTGACATACATGACCACAGCCCCCCAGATACAACCATTTCCCCCAAATGGTAAAACAAATTATTATTTTAAAGCACATTATATTTGTAAACCAAGGTACTGCTGTGCATCTTTCAGTATGAAGCGTCTGCCAAGCTGAGCAAACCTGGGGCCTCCTGGAGGCTTGGGGCATGAGAGCATCCCTTAGGCCTGCCCCAGTGCATCTGGAAACATCTGAGCCATGCCTCTGTAGTTCTGCCCTTGGCGGTTGTGCAGGGGAGGTGTGGGGCTAAGGCTTGAAGGGCGTAAGCTTTGCTCCTGAGAGAAGGCTGCCCACAGCCAGCTTTTTCTGCTTAGTTGGTAAGCAGAGCTTTTCGGCAGAGTTGATACAAGCAGACTCTTGATTGCTCAGGCATGAGCGAGCCTCTCTCGTTAACACATAGTCCCTGTGGGATAGGAAGGTAGTAGCCTTTGAGGCTTTCCTCATAGAGTGTTTGCAGGTAAGAGCCGCTGGGATGTTTTCAGTCTGAGGCAGTGTGAATAGCACATGTGGCGCGGTTCCAGCGTGGTCCTTCGGCATATGACGGCTTTTGCTTTTTGCTCATTGCAGGGATTATGGCCACCTGTGCCACCTCTCCCCAAGGACACCTGCTGTGTGTTTCCTCTGCAAGAGCTATAGATTCAGCCCCTTGAAGCAATTTCCTATACCTTCTGAGTGGCTCCGAGTGACCCCTCCAGAGTCTAGCTGGGAGTAGTGTGGTCACTTAGTGTGCTCTCTCACCTGTGTGTCTGTTCCCCGTCCCCATTCACTGTCCCCTCTGTCATCCACTTTTCCAGAGCTTTGCTCATCAGAAAAGTGGCAAGTCCATGGCTGTCATCCTTTAGTCACTGTTACAGGTCATTGGTTAAAGCCACAATAGACTTCAAAGGTCTCCATGTCCTCATAGAAGGCAGTGGGGCCTGAGCTTTGGGGACAGGTTGAGTTGCAGGACGCCCACGCGCCTCCTCTGGATTTCGTACTTCCCTTTCCCAGTTTTACTCACCTGACCAGGGTTGCTCGGGGTAGGGCGTAGGCAGCAGTTCAGGAGCAGCGTGAACACACACGCTTGGCAGGTGCCAGGGACACAGCCCACCTGGCTGGCTCTGCCTGGTTCTGTGGCTCCCGTACAGCTTCCCCAGGTGGCTCCACACGTGTGCCATTGATCCCGCCACTGGTCCTTCTCATCAGATGTGTCTCTTCAAATTCAAATGCTGGCTGTTTAGGATTTAGAAAACAAAAAGAGAGTTCTGTGCTTTCTGCATTCCAGGTTGTGCAATTGATTTTTTTCTGCCTTCCGATCAAGTACCCTGATTATCTGTTTTGCTTCCATTTTCTGTTGCTTCTTGCCCTTTGCTTGCAAAACAAACAGGCAAGCCTGGTAAGTAAACGCTTTCCCCTAATTTTCCCCCTTTCCCCTAATTTTCCCCATTGCAACCCCTGTTTGTGTTTTGTTTTTCTGTTTTTATGGTTTTTGCTTTGGTGTTTTCGCTACATTCTCCACACAGTGTAATGATGTTGTGCTGAAAAGGCCAGACCAGGCTTCAGAGGCATTGTTCTGTGGTCGAGTGCAGCCCATTGCTGGTCTAAGGCTGATTTCCTGATTTGAAGAACTTAAGTGCACTGGCCATGCATAAAAAGATTTGCACACCGTTCTCGTCGCCTCAGTCTCCTGGGATTTGGGCTGTTCTGTTTTTAAAAGGGTTAGATGGGGAGGAGAGGAAACCTAAGGCAGGAGACATCTTGGATCCAGGAAATCAGATGGACTCTGTTTGATAAGTGGCTCCTTTCTCCTCGCTGGGTGAAATGTATATGTGGCGGTGGCAGTGGGGGTGGCATAGCAGCCGAGTGTGCTGGGAACTAAGGAAACACCTTACCTGCAGCAGAAGCAAGCATTGGGTTACTGATAAAACATGGAAATGCCCTATTTGAGGAGAAGGGGTGGAACGAGCAGGTTGCCAGGGATTCTGTTAGGCTCTGCCACCTCCCCACCCCAGGCCCTGTGCACAGATCCAGGGGAGACTCACAGGCTTCACAGGCTGCTGATAACAGGTCACTACTACCAGGCTCTCTCGGTGTTGAGGACTTTGTATACGTCTTGTTTACCCTTCCCCCAGTGAGACAGCAGTAGTGCTATCCCTGACTTCAAAGCCCCTGTCCCAGGTCACACAGCTGGTAAGTGTCAGAGCCAGGGTTCAAACCTGGGATGTCAGATTTAGGAGCCTCTTGCCCATGGCCCTGTGTGGCTCCAGACTGCTGGTAGTGAGTGTGTGAAGAGCCGTGTGACTGCAGAGGCAGGGACAGGGGACCTCGGGCTTCTTCCTGGCCCGTGGTACCTAGGCGGCCTGCATCCACTTCACAAGGAGGTTGTTCCCGGTGCAGATTCCTGGCCCCGACCAGGACGGTGTGAGGCCCAGTCTGCACAGACTCTCCAGCTGGCTTGATGCCCACTCACGCATGACAGCCACCTAGATCAGGAAGTGAGGCCTGGGCCCGAGGGGTCGGGACCTTCAAGCACTTTCACCTTAGGCAGTGGGCAAGGCACCCATCAGGGAAGGCACCCATCAGGGAAGGCACCCAGACAGCCTCCCTGCTGTTACTGAGTCGTGTCTTTCAAAGTCAGTTGTCACGGGAACCCTCCGAGGCAGGGTGGTCCTGATCAGGGCTTTGCATTTGCGTTCTGCTGTTTCCTCAGTGAACAGTGGCTCCATTTCACCTTCTGTCAAATGAAAGCAAGAAAACCCCACCTGGGCTCCTGTAAGGCTCAGCTGTTCGTTCCTTGCGTGGGCTGTGTGGAGGTGTCACCTAGGCAGAGACGCTCTTCAAGCCTGGGTTAGAGCAGTGGGGAAAACAGACGGAGAGCCACGTTCCAGTGTCTGCCCTGGAGAGAGTGTGTCTGTGGGTGTGCAGGTGGCCCCCACACACTTTGGCACATGCACACTCACACACACAGCCCTGTGCGTGCACACACCGGGGAGCACATTCCACGCCTTCCTGAGGTGCCGAGGGATCAGAGTCCTGAGTGAATGGGGGAGACATGGGGAGCTCCGGGGGCTGCCTGGGTGCACAGGGCATCTGGCTGAAGCACAGAGGCCAGGGAGGCTGGAGGGCAGAGCCTGTGGGAAGGAGTCTGGAGCTTGGTCCTAGCGCAGGGGCAGACGCCTGGGCTTTTCTCAGCAGGAGTGAGGCGGCCTGGTTTGCACTCTTGGAAGCTCATCTACCAGGCGCTGGCTCAGCATTCACCCTGCAGAGCTGTCAGTAGAGTGCTTGGCATAGGAGAGTTGGTGGTTGCTATTGCTGTCACTGTCGCCATTCCTAGATACGATTCCTCTTGGCAGCCCTTAGAGTCAGTCCTCTCCTAAATGAGCTGACACTCCCAGAGAGGCAAATCTACAAGGGCAGGTACCTCAGGAGGTCCAAGTGAAGGCGCTCCCTTGCCACTTGCCGTCACCCAGAGAGCAAAGGTCCCCTCAGCACCTGGCATCAGTGTGTGCAGGGGCGGTGTGTAGAGTGGTCAGGGGAACCTGTCCCATCAGCACAGCAATGGAGTTGGGGATGTCTAGTGTTGGAGTGTAGCGCAAGATGGTTGCGTGGCAGTGGGGTGAGCTGAAGAGGAGCGGGGTTCTCAGCCAGGATCAGCCCTCCAACTGGACCCACATTAGTTCTGCTGCACTCACTGGGGTTAGAGCTTGCTGCATCAAAGAACCTTGCAGTGTGAAATGGAGGAGAAAGTGTTGGGGGCTTTTGTTTATGGGATGCTTTAGGGGTGAAAAAATCTTTTTCTCTCCCAATGATTCTCTTTGTCTTGCTAACTTTTAGAGAGGCTTACCCCTCAAGCACCCTTGAATCTTGCCCTACATAAGGGCAATATCAATGTCTTCTCTATCTGCTGAGTCTGTTTGCTGTAGGAAAAAATGGTCACTAGGGTCTCTAGGATAGATTTGTAAGGGACTGCCTTGATCAGGTTAAAAGATAATGACTAATTTCCACCTGTGCAGGACCAGGTCTGGGATGCTGGGCCTCTAGGTTTCTTCTTTTACAGACCATCCAGGACTTTGGGGAAAGGGTCCATTCCAGGGAAGAGTCAGGGCTTAAGCTGCACCCACTGGTTAGGCTGAGTTGCACCCGAGGGCTTAGCTGGCCCCAGGGACCCGGTGTGGGTTTCAGGCGTCATCATCCCCCCCCCCCCCCCCGTCTCTCCTGCCAGAGGACGAGCAAAGAGAGAAGTCTGTGTCGCACCAAACTGTGCAGCAGCTGGTCCTGGAGAAGGAGCAAGCCCTGGCCGACCTGAACTCCGTGGAGAAGTCTCTGGCTGACCTTTTCAGGAGATACGAGAAGATGAAGGAAGTCCTTGAGGGTTTCCGCAAGGTTTGTCCGTGTTCCTGGGCGCAGCAGGAGGCTGGGTGTATGGAAGAAAGGTGGGAGCTCTTTGGAGGGGCTTGGGGGGCTCCAGGACCATCTTGAACTGTGAAGTGTGTGTGTGTGGGGGGATCCTTGAAGGCTCAGGAGCCAGGCTTGTACCTGTACCCTAGAGTTACTGGGCTTCCTGAAACTCCAGGCAATTTTCTTGTGAGCCCCCATCTTCTGTCATCCCAGAATGAAGAGGTGCTAAAGAAATGTGCACAAGAGTACCTGTCACGAGTGAAGAAGGAGGAGCAGAGGTACCAGGCCCTGAAGGTGCATGCGGAGGAGAAACTGGACAGGTAACTTACCCAGCGGGGAGCTCCGGTGGTGCCTGACATTGGTTTGCGGAGGGCAGCTGATCCATGTGCATATTTTTGGTATGACCAGCCCTAAGGGCACACTCTCAGATCATGTCCAGTCTGATGGGGGCGGCATGTGTTGTAATGTTTCCAGTGTCCAAAACATTTCCAGCTTGTGGGAGTTGGGGGTGGAGGCCTTTCTGAGCTCCTGTGTGTGGGCTGTGGTTGATGGGGTCAGAGCCAGTCCCTTCTGCCCAGAACTAAGAGGAGCAAAGTAGGAGGCACCTGTGGCCATCTGTGATGAAGCATGATCATTCTGAGTCCCCTGTTCCCCCAGGGCCAATGCAGAGATTGCCCAGGTTCGAGGCAAGGCCCAGCAGGAGCAAGCTGCCTACCAGGCCAGCCTGCGGAAGGAGCAGCTGCGAGTGGATGCTCTGGAAAGAACGTTGGAGCAGAAGGTAGGGGCTGCTGTGGGTGGGCTGGTGCCATCCCGCATGTGTGTATCGGTGTCTTCCTCCTGAGGGTCCGGCATCACACCAGCCCCAACCAAGATGGGCTTCCTTTCTTCCTTCTCTGAAATCCTCCAGATACTTGTTTCCACTTCTCATTCCTTTACAATATTCACTCATATGTACACAGTTTATTAAGACCCTAATGTGCTAGGCATAGTACTTGATCGGATGCTTCTGTCCAAGGTTCCTGTTAGTGAGTGGATGTGGTGGTACCTACCAGGCCCCAGGCTGAGACAAGCAGTAGGCGCAGGGAACAGAGAGTGTCAGGGCCAGAAAAGTCCAGATGTCCACTTGTTCCATGGATAAGAGGCAAATCTCCTGAGGTCACACAGCTTGTCCCCAGGTTTCCAGATTTCCATTTGATACTCAGCCCCCTATGTATATCTCCTCCCTGGGTGTGTCTATGAGGAGCTCTATCAGTCAGCAGTGCTGGGTGCGTGAGGCTAAGTCTGTCTACGTGAGGGCAGGCCCACTCCTGCTGTTGCTTGAATGGAGGAGGTTTCTAGATACGCAGTTTCCTTCCAGTTTATTGCTGAGCCTTAAGGTTCTCCTGGTCGGCAGAGCTTAGCAGCCTGGGGTAGCGGTACATGCAGTACATGTTGGCATCGAGGGGCCCCTTGTGTTTAGTAGGCAGGTGAGCATCAGCCTGTCTGCCAGGTGGCCCCTGCTACTGGAGAAACACCCTGAGGTTCCAGCACGGTCCAGAGGGACAGCTTGGCTAACCAGCTGTAACCTCTGTCTTCATGAAAACCTAAGCCTCACCTGACTTAGATGGCATCAGGGGTAGAGCCCTGAGAATCAGGCAGCTTTTCTTCTCACCGAACTTGGCCATCTGTACAGCTCTGGGCAAGGCTTGTTCTAGGTTCCCTTCAGCTCTAAAAACATTCCAGGCGGGAGTTGCTCTGAAGCCCAAGTCATTCCCCACCTGTCACAACTGTGTCCCTCAGTATGTTCCTACTGCTCCAGAACCCAGGCAGCTGGAAGGAATGGTACAGATCGCTGGCTTCATTCTACCTCTTAGGATGAAAAAGGCTAATGGTTACTAGGCACTTTAGTACGTGAACTACATTTTACAAGGAGCAAGCCTAAATGTTGCCAGATATGCTAGATGCGCGAAGCTCCTCCGCGGGGCAGTTTGATGGTGGCCGAGGATCCCAGCACAGAGCTTGGAAAGCTTCCAGGCATCCATATCTTAGGGGTCTGCGCATGCCTCTTAACCATGAGTCAGCTGGCATTTTGTTCAGTAAGTGTAATGACAACACCATAGAGTTGCCAGGTCATCTTGAGTTTGTACTCCAGGCCAGCCACATGTGACAGGCTGTGTGACCTTAAGCAAAATGCTCAGCCTTTCCAAGCCTCAGTTTCCTCATGAGAAAATGGGGTTATTAATGGCTTCCTTAAGGTCCCAGTAGTCAGAATGCCCAGCGTAGTGACTGGCATATAGCAAGCACTCCATGAAAGTCAGCATTTGTTATCAGCAGCCCAGGGAAGCAGTGGCAGTACTGATGACAATGACCTGAAGACTCATGCTCCTGAAGAGCCCATGATCCCCCTGGGAGCCTCGTCTTCCAGCAGTGCCTCTCTGAACTCAGAGCATACAATGGAGACAGGAAGTGGCGCAGCTGGTGGTAGACCGCCCTCCCACCCCTACTATAGAAGGCTCATTCTTCCCCTGCATATGGTTCTGTGACGCATGGCACCAGGAGTCCTGCCTTAAAACAAAGCTCATGGCTCCGGCTTGGCACATGTCCCACAAAGTCCCAAGGTCTCCATGGAAAGGTCTCAGTTCACCTTCCATAGAGACTTTGAGGAAATGCGGGCTGCAAAATGTGCCCAGGATTCCAGAAAGACCTGTCCCTGGGAGCAGGCCCCTCGAGGGGGTAGTGCGGTTACAGCGGCTCAGCCTGGGGGCTCCGTGTCTCGCTTGCTGAGAGCTGAGCCGTGTCTGCACAATGGCACATGTCGCTGGATCCCATCAGAGAGGCTGGGAAGTCATTGCTGCACACCCCTGTGGTTGGTTGCCCCTGATTGGTCTTCAGAGAATGTACAAGGCATGTCAGGAGGAACATCCTTAAGCTACCTTGCATCTACTCTGCCACCTTGCCAACACCTGTCCCCACAACAACACCTACGGGCCATCTTCCAAATAATGCTGTTGTTCTTATCCAAGTAGAATTGCATGACCCTTCTTGTGCAGAAAGCCAGTGAAGGGCTCAGCCCAGCCCAGACCATCACTATCCCAGAGCGTAGCCTTCACAGGCAGAGACAAGAATTGTACTGAGTAACCCTGTAGTCTGTGCTAGTCACTCTGCATTCCCTGCCTCATTTGCATTTCTTAGCCCATTTGCATGTCTTGCCTTATTTGCACAACCTCATTTACTTCTCAGACAGATATTATCACTTACATTTTAAAAATAAGGAGACCAAGGTTCCGAGAGGTTGTGTAACCTGCCCCAGGTCTCATAGCTAGAGCAGATTGTGTGGTCCCAGGTAATTCCCCTGCTTATGTCACCTTTGGGGGACCGAGGGGCTGGGCAGAACCTCATCCTCCCAAAGTTCTCAGCACCTCTTTTGATTGACTTGATTTCAAAGATCAGAAACTTCTTCCTTGTCTTTTCTTTCAGAATAAGGAGATAGAAGAGCTGACCAAGATTTGCGATGAACTGATTGCTAAAATGGGGAAAAGCTAACTCTAAACCAAATGCTTGGACTTGACTGTCGCGTGCAATATGACCATTGGCACACTGCTGTCCTCGAAGTTACGCGGACAGGTTCTGTTTTCACTTTTCGTATGCACTACTGTATTTCCTTTCTAAATAACGTTTGATTTGATTGTATGCAGTACTACGGAGACTATCAGGATTTCTTGCTATTGGTTTGCATTTTCCTAGTATAATTCATAGCAAGTTGACCTCAGAGTTCCTGTATCAGGGAGACTGTCTGATTCTCTAATAAAAGGCAAAAAATTGCTGACCTTGGCCCTGCCCTTTGTACACGGATTCCCAGGGCGAGCAGCTTTTGATTTAATATGAACATGTACAGCGTGCATAGGGACTCTTGCCTTAAGGAGTGTAAACTTGATCCACATTTGCTGATTTGTTTTAAAGAATGCATGTTTCAAATAAAATCTTCTATTGTAAATAAATTTTTTTCTTTGGATCTTGGCAATGAGCGTGGCTGCGCTTTATTTTCTGGGAAGGGTTGAGTCTTTCCTTGCTTTTGTTAAAGAATATCAGATTTGGCCTTGTGCTCTTTGGCTTATTTGTCTGGGCTCCTTTCTTTGTCTATTAAGTAACATTTCCTTCATTGTTGCGGTGGGGTTTGTAAATGAAGCTAATGAGAAATACTGTCTTGCAACTTTGAATAATTAAGGGGATACATTGGCTTTCTCTTAATGGGCTGTCACTCTTCGCCGCTCAGTGTATGAGGATCAACCTCGAAATGTTGAGGGTTGCTTTTGTGACGTAGAAGACTGATGAACCAGTCACCTCCAAGGAGAGGTGGCTATGTGCCTACGTGGCATCTGAGGGTGCTTCCTTTCTGCCACACCTGGGTTCTCCCAGCGGTGCGGGCCTTTGGTCCCACAGTCACCCTCAGCAGGACAGGGGCCCGAGCTAGAACAGAGACCCCCTCCCTCACTCTGCCCAGCCCCTCCCCAGGCCTAGCCATGTCCCCTTGGCCAGGTGCTCACTCCCCTGGGCCTTACCTCTGTCTGGCTCAGGTTCCGATCTCAACCACTCTCTTAGAAGCTTTTCTTTTTATTCAGATAAAGTATTAAGATTGAAAAAGTTATAACTACAAAGGTGTGTGTGAGGGTTGATTGTGTCAGTGTAAGAGAAGCTCAATTAAACTGGCTCAGCAGTCCCACCCCCTGGGGTGTGCAGGACCTAGCCCAGGGCAGCTTGTCGCCTGGACAGTATAAGGGGAAAGCAAAGAAGACTCACCACTATTTCTTCAGGGAAGCTCCAGCCTTTGCCTTCACGTTGGATGTCATCTCCTGGCTCCCAGCGCCAACTCTTCAGCTTCCGGCATGGATCCTCCAGCCTTCCGGTAGACTCTCCAGCCTCCCATTGCAGACCCACTGGCCTCCTAATACAGACTTGCATGGACCCTGCAGTGAGCTCCAGACCTTGAGCTGGACCCTTAGGTCTCCAGAGTGCAGACACCATCTGCAAGCTTCCTTGTCCGACTACAGGTGCCTGTTGCAAGCCAATTTTGTTAATTCTTACGTATCTGTATTATATCTTTCTCTATCAAACACCGACTAGGGGCTGGTGAGATGGCTCAGTGGTCTAAAGCACCCACTTAGAACAAGCTTAGCAAAGCACAGGGACCGCGGTTCAATCCCCCAGCACCACATGCCAGCCAGCCCCGCCCCCTGGTGGGCTGAGCTGGCCACACACACACACACACACACACACATAAATAAATAAATAAATAAATAAAATTAAAAAAAAAAAAAAACCGACTAATAGGAGAGAAAGCTATGCATAATGTCCAGAGCAAGAAGCTATCAGTATTTTTATGTATTTTACCCTTTTTCTTTTTTCTTTTTTTTAATGTATTTAGTACAGGGTCTTACTACACAGGTCGAACTCCTAGTGATCCTCCCGTTTTCAGCCTCCCAGGCGCTGGGATTATAAGCATGTGCTACTACGTCCAGTCTCAATTGCCATCTCAGCGCACCCGGGGCAGATCCAGTATGGCATGTGCCAGGGATCATACCCCGGTCTCTGCATCTGCCTAAGCAGGCGCTGTAGTCCACTGAGCTATCTGGCCGGCCCTTACCCTTTTTCTTGATATGTGAAATATGTCATTTGTTCAGAAAAGCAAGGTATTTGGAATTCTGCAGTACTGGATGCTCACAGCCATCTGCAGTCCTGTGTGCCATTTGTTGACTTTCCCCCACTTAATCCTGTAATCTGAGCGTCATGTTATATAGGAACTGGGGGAGGGTCCTAGAGATCAAACCCAGGGCACTCTCTCACTGAGCTACATCCTCAGCCCTTTCTGAGCTTTTATTTTGAGACAAGGTCTTGCTAAATTGCTCAGGCGTGCCTCAGACTGGTGATCCTCCTGCCTCCCGAGTTGGTGGCATTGGGGAGCTGCACATGCTGTGACACCCAGGCCTAAAACATCTTGGTGAAATTGTTTGCGTGTACTTAGAAGCATCCCGAATGTCAACCAAATAGCTGCAGTTTTGTTGCTTTGCAACTAGAGTGAGATTCAGCAGTTACCTTATGTAAGTTGCATCAGAAACTACAGATGAAGAAAATGACCACCCTGTATGTACCCTGTGCTGTGCACCAGCAGGAACCTGATGTCAGTTTCCATGCCAGCTGCAACCCCCAGGCTGTACAGGCAAGGCCAGTGGCTATTGGAAATACCCTAGGGAAACGGTCTGAAGACGTGCTCCAAGAACACAATAAAAAACAAAAAAATACATGCTTAGTGGTACGTGAAACATACCCAAAAAAGACACTGTACTGTTTAAAAGCAATATATGTATAGTCTTAGATTTTTCAATATTTTCTTTAAAACGATTGAATTAGATTTAGAATGTTAAATTACTTACAGACAAGGGGAACAAAACGGCTGGAGCCAATTATTTTTTACCTTTCTCCTCTCTGAGCCTTGGCAACTTTTTTTTTTTTTTTTTGGACAGGCTTTCATTTAGCTCAGCAACAATCCTCTTTGTATTTTTCCCTCAGCATGTTACTTTCTTTTCTCAGGGAGCCACAGTCTCCCAGTGCAGGTCAACCTTCAGTTGCCTGGGTGCTGTCTCCATGGAGCGCAGTGTACTACAAACTGAGAAATTTTTTTATCAGTAAATCCAGGGGAAAAAAACACCCTTTGGGCTGGCGGGATAGCTCAGTTGGTCCTGCCTAAGCAGGCGCAGGAGACCTTGGTTTGATCCCCAGCATCACATGCCACGCCAGCCACGCTTTCAGGATGGGCTGAGTGAGCCAAAAAATAAAATCCAGCGGCTCATTTTGAATGGCTCCATAGCATTCGTGCCCCCCCCCAAGTCCCCTGGAGATGGGGGCTGTTGTGTGACTTTGCATGTGCTGCTACCGTTCTGCATGCGGCACGAGTGCCCCTATATACATGTGTGCATACATTCCCTCGGCTGATCCTGCAGAGGCTCCCCTGGGCTGCCGGGGTCACTTTTCAGCCCAACGCCACTGGGAACGTGGGCTTCATTGTTTATTGCTCCTTGCAGTGAGGGAGAACACCCGCCAGGGGGAGCCGCGAGGCTGCGCTGGAAATGGGTGTTGGGACGACATCGCATAGGATGAAGACCCGGAGTGGGTGGTTGAAGGGAGGGGTTAATGAAGCAGTCTCGCTCCGTATTGGATGCTGTTGGTGAGGGGTGGGGACCGCTTGAAGACTGGCCTTTCAGCGAGTCTTACTGAGACCCGCACTGGGTGAGGTAAGGAGCTAGGACTAAGAGGTGCTTGGCCCTTTTCTGTGACCCTGATAATGTTCATGTTCTGTCTGTGTTTAGACATGCGCTTGGAGTGGTCTTGGGTGCTCCACCGCCGTCCCAGTGCCCCGGCCTGCGCTCAGCTTCTGTGACTGTTGATGGTCAAGGCCATAAGCGATTTCAGACGCTGTCTTGTTCTTTCACAAAGGACAGGGACATTTTCCCTGGCAGCCCAGCTGACCCCTTTAAGAGCTGCGCTTCCCTTGGTGCTCGAGATGGAACCCAGGGTCCCTGGCATGCTGAGCAAGCGCGCTATTCCTGAGCTCCAGCCGCAGCCCTCTGTGGACACAGGAACACCTGTGTACCTCTGGCCCACTCGACGCGGCCCTGAACGGCTGCCAGGTGGATCACACGTGGCACGCATAATTTTAAATTTGGGAAGCCCACTGCCAAATGCTGTGCACATAGGTAGCCTCTCCCTCGGGGATAGATTCCCTTTCAGGTGGTGACTGTCCCCTAGGTTCCTCGCTGCCTGCCAGCTCACTTCTTTGCTCAGAGACCTTCCTGTCCTCCCACCGCCGCCAGGACCGAGACGCAGCTCAGTCCCGCATTCTTGGTTAGCACACTTCACTGCAGGAACTGAGTGCTTTACTGAGTGCTTTGTTTCCATTCACAAGATTCGCCCTGGAAACCCATAAGGCCGTGTCAAGGTGGAGCAGAGGACTGAGATGTGCCCGTATCCACAAGAGGAGCTCAGGGCAGCGGTGACCCCAGTCCTCTTCCTTCACTGCCCACCGTGCTTTGTCAGGAAGTGGGAAGAAAGGCCCCCTGCCAGCCCCGCCCCTAGCTAGGAGCTGTCTGACCTCTGCCACCTCCAGCTGTGTGATCTGGTAGGTCGCTTAACCTCTCCGGGCCCAAGCGCTCGTGTCTCTACCTTCTCACAGTGCTCCTGGAAGGAGGGCCTGGCCTCCAGATCCTCAGGGGTGGAGATCAGCCGCTTTTCCTGCTCTCTTCCTGATAGCACACTGAGGGATATTTTGAATTCCTTGTCAGGTGGTTAACTCACCAATCTCCCTTCATCCTGGCTGGCTTTCCGAGGCTTATTCACTCTTGGGACTGGGCTATCGTTCCACGTCTCTTCATGTGGCTTCTTATTTTTCTTTGTTTATGTTTGTTCAGCCAGCGACCTCTCCCAATCTTTATACATCGGCTTTATATACAGAATGCCTTCGCCAGTGGGCCTGGCTGATGATCCTGGGGGCCTCGCCAGCTTTTCCTGGGGACGCATCTTCCCTGGGCATAAGCACGTACCTTACCCATTAGAAAGACTTCCCAGGTCCGTTTCAGGAGCTTGCCGTCTCCGGTCCTCTGCTGACCGTGTGCAGTGCTGGGGCTGCAAGACAACGCTGAGCTCCTCCGTTCCCGGCAAGTTCTAGGGATCCAGATTTCATCAGTGCTGCAAGTAAGGCCGGACAGCAAGCACTGCCTTGGGTACGCCCAGAGCCAGAATGTTGGGCCGGCCGCGGAGGCCTGGGTCACTGTACTGAGCACTACCAGGGGAGAGCTTCCAGAGGTGCGTGCTAGAGCTGTTTCCGTTTATGTCCACAGCTGAGTTCCCGAGAGCGTCGTGTGTGCTGAGGTGTCAGAGTGTGGACTGCAGGCGCTAGGTCCCTGTGCTCACTGCAGAAAGTGATGGCTTCAGCTAAAGCAGGGAGGGGTTGGAGGGCTGGAGGGCTGATTCTTACTCAACAGGGACTGGGACACCTGGGCTGCTTCCCCAGCATGGCCACTAGGGGGAGCCTAAGGCCCTGTTCTTGGCAGGTTGCTCCACAAGCTGTACCCAGAGAGCAAGTGGGATGCCAAGATGCTCTAGGGCAGCCCGGGAGAGACAGAAAAAGTAAATAAATAATAATAATTATCATTAGTAGTAAATCAACATTTTGTACACACACATTTAAATGAGTTCTTAATCTTTTTCACTTGGTTGTTCGCTTAATGTTGCACATGTTAGTGACACTTAAGGGTGATGCCGACACAGGTGGCGGTTAGGCAGCCTTGTGTTAGGCATCGGTGACTTGAGGTACAGGGCCTGCCACTAGGGTGCTCTCCCCTGCAGGAGGGACAGAAGCTCACAGACGGCCACGAAGACACACGCACTCACCTTGGGTCTCTGCTACCCCCAAACACCATGGTACTCTCCACGTCCCTGTACAGCCTCAGGTCTGTTGCTTCCGCCAGCCCAGTGCTGAGACCATGGGGTGTGTGTGTGTGTGTGTGTGTGTGTGCGCGTGCGCACGTGTGTGTGTAGGAATCTCAGCAGAAGTCTGTACACAAGCAGATCTGCCCTCTGTGCCTCTTCCTCATCCCCCAAATTTCCTCAAATAATTGCCCCATGTAAGATTTCAAGAAATCTGAAACGTAATGAATTACCCTGGACCATCTTTAATTTTTTAAAATTTATTTGGTACAGGGTCTCTCTACACAATTCAGCACTGGGATTATAGACGTGTACCACCATGCCTGGTTTTAGAGACAGCACAGTGTGCATGGGTACAGCATGCAATACTTGGGATCGAACTCAGATCTTTTTGCTTGCCAGATAGGTGCTTATGCCACTGAGCTATCTCCCTGGCCCACTAATGACAGTTAACTTTGGTCTTAGAACTCAAATGATTTTTGTTTTCCAAATATTTTGCCTCTGAATTTCTCCCTATAAATGTGTTGTTTTATTTATTACTTATTTTTTGGGTTTGATACAGGGTCTTGTTATGAAGTTCAGACTCATAGTGATCCTCCTGTCTCAGCCTGCCACCACCACCCCAGTGCTGGATTACAGGCATTGGGCAGCACTCCCGGTTTTGGTGGGCAGCATGGCGCACCAGGGCTGGCATGGGGTACAGTACCAGGTATTGAACTCAGGTCCTTGCCTTGCCAGGCAGGCGCTTAGACCACTAAGCTATCTCCCCAGCCAAAGTGTTATACTTTAAAAAAAAAAATCCAATAATACTTTTTGCCTGTGAGAAAATACATACAGCCTAGCTCAGGAGAGGCTCTGTCTCTGGCCCTGCAGCCTCTGTGGCCCTGACAGCAGCTGTTGGGGGCCTGCTTCCTGCGTGGCTGTACCTGAGGGTCAGGGGAGGTTGAGAAGGCCCTGCATGGGGCCTTCTAGTCCCTCTTCCATAAAACAGGCAGTGTTCCTGGCTCCTGGCTGCTTCTGTTCTTCTCCCTCTAGTTCTCCCCCAGGACGCCCTCCAGACCTCTACTGGCAAGGGAGGTGCTAACTTTGAGAGGTGAGCACTTCTGGCTTTCTTTGGCCCTCTCCTCAGGTCTGACTGTGGCACCAGCTGCTGCTGCTTCTATAAGCACAAAACCTGGAGCATCAGCTGCTCCCAGCTGAGTGGAAGCCACTGGGGTTGCCCTGGAGTGAACTTTCCCACTTCACTCTGAAACCCCAAATCCAGCATATAACTGGAGGCATTGCTCTGAACCAAGATGCACCATGGGGGCTGCTTGAATTGTCAAAGATTCTCCTAACACACAAGCATACATGCAGGTAGTCAAAGACAAGGGCACCTCTGTTAGGTACAAACACCAGACCATAAAGCACCAGACACAGACATACACCCACGTGCGTGAGGGGGCGTATGCACAGAGGCACAGCTCACTGTGTGCAAGGGCAGAGTGGTGGCTAAGTGGTGCATCCCATTAACCAATTCTACAGACATTTGCTGAGCGCTTCCTAAGGGCCAACTTTGACTTTCAGGCTGTTTGGGTACAGAGATGGGTGGATCACAAAACCTTTCTACAGTAACCAACTGCTCTGCTCAGAGAATGTGGGCATCAGGAGGGGCAGAAGAACAGGATTTGGGGACAGAGCATGGAGGCAAATGCCAAGGTATCTTACTAACCTTGGAATACATCTATACAGTGTTTGATATTTTCTTTCTTTCTTTCTTTCTTTCTTTCTTTCTTTCTTTCTTTCTTTCTTTCTTGGATATAGGGTCTTACTATGCAGTTCAGACTCATCGTGATCCTCCTGTCTCAGCCTCCCCAGTGCTGAGTTTATAGGCATGCATTACCACACCTAGTTTTGATGGCCAGCATAGTACCCCTGGGATTCCTGGGCCAACGCAGCATGCGGTACCAGGGACCAAACCTGTGACCTTGCGCTTGCCAGACAGCACTTAGACTGCTGAGCTATCGCCCCAGCCCAGTGTTTTTCTAGAACACAATCACAGGTAGACACAGAAGCCACCTTTCTGTATAACTTTACAGCTGACTTGCCATGTGAGGGCCTATGAAGAAGCCCATGAAGGCTAGGCCTGGGGTCCCATGAACTGTCTGGGTTCACATGCCTACCACCTCAGCGTCTCTGCAAGCCCAAGCAATGGTCCTGGCTTTTGATAAACCAGGGTTCCTGGTGGACAGGACTGATGTGACTACCACCTCCCCATCCTTGAGTTTCAGGCAGAGACTGCAAAACAAGTTGCTGGGGACATTATATAGTTCTGCCCTGGCCCCTGGTATGGAGCCTCTTGTTCTTCTTTATCAGGCAGGTCTTAGATCCCAGGGACAGCAGGTTAAAAATCACCCATCAACTAAGTACCTCATTAGGCCATAGAGTTTAATAATGTAAAACTTGATTTGTATCTCAAATGCTTTTCAAAATATCCAGGAGACTGAAGCTAGAAATAAACACGTTCAAATGCTAGAGCTCGGCAGAATCTGAGAACATTCCAATCTAGTCTCACAGCAGAGGCGTGAAATTTGGGAGGTTGATCTTCATGGAGACCCTTGGAGAGCTGGCCCAGGTACTGAAAGGGAACGTGGCGCTTGGGAACAGGAACGGCACTGCCTCTGTCGAGGGAGATGGGAGGAAATGCGTGCCACCTGCTTGGTCTTCGTGAAAGTCTGTGGCTCACAGTGTGGCCTGTTCTTACCCTCAGGGGGAGGCTCTAGCCTCTCTGAAACCCGCGACCCAGAACTGCTCGGCTGAAACCGGAACTTGGAACAGGAAGTGCTTGGAATCCTCCCTGCTGTTTCCATAGTACCCACAACAACCCGAGGAAACCAAAGGCCAGAGCCCACCAAAACGCCCTGGACCATAAGGGGAGAAAGCTGAGCTCCAGATGTCGTGAGAGCTTTTGGCATTCATGCTCAGAAAGCGGCCAGCCGCCAGCTCCCCAGTAATTCAGAGACCAGCGCACCGGGCGTTCCTCCATTCCGCACACTCCCCGGTGGGCAGAGAGCTTCAGAGCTCCAAGCAGGACCGGTGGTTTTCATCTGCTGTCAAGACCAAGAGTGGCGCCAAGAGACAAGTCCTGCTTGGACTTGTCTCCATCAGGTCAGCTGGCAGAGCGGAGGCTTGGGGCTCCTGGCAGGGGCAGGGAGGTCTGGGAGCTGAGGACCAGCACGAGCAGCTCCTGGCCGCTCAGAGCGACTTAGGAACTGACTCCCAATACTCATTCGCATGCTGGATGAAGGCAGAGGAAACACGTGTCCAGGCCCCTGGGATGCCCTGGGCTTCAAGATCCGCCATAAAAGCTCTTGGGGGTCCAGTTAAAAACAAGCAAACAAACAAAAACCCAGCAATTAAGGTAGCTCCAGGCCAGCCCCAGCTTCCTTCTCTCTACTAAGATGAACCCCACAGGCATAGGGAAGTCCTGGCCAGGGCTGGGGCGCTTGGCTCTTGCTCACCAGCTGCGTTAGCTTGGAGCCCTCTTCCTTCCTCTCAGAGTCCTAAGCCATGTGAAGGTCTTAAGAGTCTATCTTAATGGCAATGGGAAGCTGGGGAGGATTTTAAGCTGGGAACGGCCATTCTGACTCCTAAGTGGGAAAACAGTGAAAGAAGCAGCTGTGTGTGGCTGGGGGTCGCGCAAGGCGGACACCAACCATGAAGGACACGGGGGTGGAACCCAGAGCTTCCTGTGTGCTAAGCAGATGCCCCATGACTGGGCTGTGGCCCCGGCCCAGACTGATTTGATATGCATGTTTTAAAATTAGAGCTGGCCAAAGTGAGTGCACACTCAACACTTCCTACTCAATGAGATAATTTGTATAATGAAACAGAACGGAAAATGTTACACTGGGGAGAATTTTCATTGGCACGTATGACAGACAAAGGCCCCAGAGCTGCACACAGAGAGCTCTGACAATGGCTGAGGAAGCTACAGCTGCGCAGCGGAAGACTGGAAAAGTCATGCTTAGACATCTTTCAGAAAAAAATTAAAAGCCAAAGTCTATATAAAAATGTTCAACCTTACTGATGGCCAAGAGGTTAAATGACGGTGACAATCTAAAACCATCTACCATTCACCAGATCGGCAAAAATACAGGTGGTGGTAATGCCCAGGACATGTGATGGTGTGGAAAACTCTTAAGAGGTGCTGCTGGGCGGGGAGTGCGGCCCCGTGGTGACGTGGCCAGGCAGCGCAAGGACCCAGGCCTGAGGCCCAGCGCTGGGAGGAAGAATCAGTGCTTCAGATGCAAACTACTCCCACTTCTGGGAAAGGGAGACAGAGTTGGCTATTTTAAGTAAATATGTATATTTCTGACATAATCTCACTTTGAAGAATAAAAGCAGTAATATACAAAGACGCACACACACACACACACACACACACACACACATGCTTGTTGTCTGTAAGAGTACAATAACCTGAATGCAATTCACTTTGCTTTTTTTTTTTTTAATTTTAGGGAAGGGTCTACAGGGTGTTTAGGGTCTCACTACTCAATCAGACTCGTAGTGATCTGCCTGTTTATAGCCTCCCAAGAGCTGGGATTACAGGTGCACACCACCACGCGCAGTCTCAATTGCTGGCTCAGCACGATCCGGGGGTAGGGCTGGCACTGGAGGCCTGGGATTGAACCCCAGGCCCTGCACCTGCTTGTAGGCGCTCTAATCTGCTGAGTTATTTAGCTAGTCCACGCATAACCCGAATGACTATGGAGACGTCCAATATGTAATGATGCTTCCACAACATGAAATATTATGTAAATATTTTCAATGTTTTCTTTACCTGTCCTCATATCAGTTCACTTGTAATGAGTCTATGTAAATTACTTTTGCAATTAAAAAAAAATCTAGTTAATTTAAAAACAAAAACTCCAATTTGCCTGGGTAAAATAAAAGTTCCTCCCGGCAGGGATCGTGTCCTGTCCGTCTGGCTCACTCCCCTGTGTCAGAAACAGCTGGCTCTGCTTTGCAGGTGGAGACTGTGCAGAAAACTCGTCCCGAATGACGGGGTGAGCCGCCTCCTGCTGCGGCGGGCGTGCAGGCGAGGCCTGCGGCCACAGATGCAGTGGAGCTTCCTGGCCAGCAGGTGCCACGGGGCTCCGCTGGTTCTACCCTCTCTCCCACTTCCCCTTTCTTCCCACCAATCCTTCATCACACAGTCTTCCTGGGAGAGTTAGTCAGACACCTGCTTAGCTACGCCAGTGGGGCTCACTTGGTGGGAGTCTGGCTTGTGTGATCCACACAAAGGCTGAATGTGGGGGAGCTGGTTTGTCCTAGTGGCAGTGCATGACAAAGCTGGCCCTTGCACTCGGTCCCAGCAGTGATCTGCCCTTCCCCGGAGCCAGTCCTCCAGCTCCGCCTGGGCACCCGTGACCACCATCCCCATCAGCACCTTCCCGTCCATCCCGACCCTCTTACATACATAATATTTTTGGCACGTTATAAATTAGATTAGTTTCCATCGCTTGCAATCAACTGCCCTAGACTGGTTCAGAAACAGCTAGAGAATCCTCCTGTGGATCTCTTTCTCAGCTCTTGTGCCACAAGCTCACCGAGACCAGCATGGCTCTGGCCTACCCCTGGTGTCTGGACCTAATTAGAAATACAGATTTTAATTTTAATTTTTTATTTTTTTGTGGTACCAGGGATTGAACTCAGGACCCTGCGCTTGCCAAACAGGCACTTAGTCTACCGAGCTATCTCTCCGGCCCCAAAATACAGATTTTTAGATAAATCCCCTCCATAGTGTTTTTAAGAAACCTTTCAGAAATGTATTAAAAATTTCCTCAGCGTTCACTTTCGTCTTCCAGGTGATCGTCTCTTTCCTTCTGCGTAATCTCTACTGCTGTTCGTGAAGATGATGAACATGGTAAGTTGTCATCTTTATAGGAAGGCGGGCAATGGCGAGGATGAGCGTTGGGTGCAGGGGGATGGCTCGGTGTCCACACGGGCCTGGGGCCTGCACCACGGTGGACCTCAAGCCGCCCCCCGGCCTCACTCTCCGGCGGGCCTACACCTAGACTCTGATTCCTGTTTTCAATCACGCGTCACACTGTAGGCAATATACTACAGAACCTCCCCAGGCTCTATTTTATTATATCCTTTAGCAACTCCATAAACAAAATAGTGCCTTCTCCACCATCATCAGCATCAACGTCATCATCACCATTAAAACCAGCAGTGCCCCCACAACCAGCACGGTCATCAGCACCATCATCCGCTTTACTATAATCCCTGTTTTACAGAAGGACTGAGCGGCTCAGAAAGTTAAGTGACTTTGCTCAAAGCCACACACGTAGTTAAATTACAATAACAAGATGTGAACTCGGATCCTCTCTTCCATAGCCCGTGGTTGTCCTCCCACTCTGGTGCCCAGATGATTTAGGATGGATTGCTTCCAGTCCTATGACTGACTGACTGACTGACTGTCACTGTCTGTCTGTCTCTGTCTTTCTGTCTGTCTGTCTGTCTGTCTGTCTGTCTGTCTCTCTCTCTCTCTCTATATATATATATATGTATGTATATATATATATATAAATTATTTATATATGTATGTATGTATTTATTTGGTACAGGGTCCCATTGTGCAGCTTGGACTCATAGTGATCCTCCTGTCTCAGCCTCCCCACTGCTGGGATTACAGGCATGCGCCCCCATGCCCAATTTCATGGCATGCAGTACTGGGGATTGAATCCGGGTCTTTGTGCTTGCTAGGCATGCACTTAGACCACCAAAGTATCTCCCCAGCCCCTCATGGGTCTCCTGTGATGATGTTTTTCCTTGATGGATTTCTTGGAGTTATCAGTATGGGACTTATGTCCATGCTGGGTATTCTTCTCCTTCCTGAACAAAACTGACAAAGTTCTCTTGATGCCTCAAGAAAATTTCTGAGTGAAATTCTCTTCCCAGTGATCCAGTATACTCTGGGTATATTTCCAAAAGATTTGGAAGGCAAGTGTTCAAGAAATAGCAGATACACGAATATTCATAGAGGTAGACACAACCCAAACGTATCAACTGATGGATAGATAAAACACAATCACAAAGCACTTGTTCTGCTTTTAAAAGGAATGAAATACTGATACACAGATGAACCAGGAAAGCACACTAAATGAAAGAAGCCACACACAAGAGCTCACATATTATGTAACTGGGCTTATATACAATATCCAGAATAGGCAAATCCATAGGTAGGGGACAGATTAGTGGTTTCGAAGAGCTGGGGAGGGGAGAATGGGGCATAATAGCTGTACGGATGCAGGCTTTCTATCTGAGACACTGAAAATGTTCGGGAACTAGATAGTGGTGGTGGTTACATAGTATTGTAAATAAACTAAGCACCACTGCTAACTAGTATACTATAATTTGAATAAATTGGTGAATTGTTTATGTGTCTTACCAAAAAAAAAAAAAAAAAAAAAGTCCCTAGCCAAGATCTCTCTACAGTGTGCAGTCTCTGAATGACACAAGAAGTCTTTATTTTTTATTTTATTTCATTTTTTATATTTTAGGGCAGGGTCTACAGGGTGTTCAGGGTCTCACTACTAGATCAGGCTTGTAGTGATCCGCCTGTTTACAGCCTCCCAGGAGCTGGGATTACAGGTGCATGTACCACCACACCCAGGCTCAATTGCCATCTCAGCATGCCCCGGGAGCAGGCCAGCACAGCAGGGCCGAGGATTGAACCCCCAGGCCCTGTGCCTGCTTGCAGGTGCTTTAACCTGCTAAGCTATTTGGCCAGCCCTGAGAAGTCTTTAAAGAACAGTACTGGAAGAATAAGTCAGCTTGTGGATTCTTTGGAGCTGTCTGCAAAGCAGTTTTTCTCCCTGAACTTTTTGTTCTCATGCTTTCTGTGCCAGATTCTGAACTCTCAATTCCTTGATAGCTTTGCAATCCCTAGAGTTTGGACTATGGCATTGTTTTCATTTATTTATTTATTTATTTATTTATTTATTTATTTATTTATTTTGTGTGTGGGTGGCCAGTTCAGCCCACCAAGGGGCAGGGCTGGCTGGCATGTGGTGCTGGGGATTGAACCGAGGTCCCTGTGCTTTTGCTTAGCTTGTTCTATGTAGGTGCTTTAGACCACTGAGCCATAGCACCAGCCCCTGGACTATGGTATTGTTTTCTGAAGAAGATGTTCATCAGAAATACTAGCCATGGGCTGGGGAGATGGCTCAGTAGAATAAGCGCTTCCCTGAGAAGCGCAAGGGTCTGAGTTCAATCCCCAGTTCTGCCGAAAGAAAGAAGAAAGAAAGAAAGAAAGAAAGAAAGAAAGAAAGAAAGAAAGAAAGAAAGAAAGGAAGGAAGGAAGGAAGAAAGGAAGGAAGGAAGGAAAAGGAAAAAAAAGAAAGACAGACTAGTCATATTTAAAAATGAACTAGCAGTTTCTTTCTGTGGTGACATTTGAAAATCTGACATGTAGGGGAGGTTAAAGATTTTTCCACTTCCTTTGAATACCAAATAGAACAAGAACCGGCTGGAGCGCCGGATTGTTGGGTCAACGAACCGGTGGCATTTCCCCAAGAAGCCCTTCTCAGGGGACCTGCTGGCACTTTCCCAGATGTGCAAGGCGCTGGGCATAGACCTTGATGAGGCTCTGAAGCATCCAGACAGGTAGGGAGACTCCAAAGCCTGTGGTCGGGAACGGCCCAGCAGGGCGACCTGCATTCCTGGGAGGGAGGGTGCCTGATGCCTGGGCCACCCCACTTTAATGGAGAGGCTGTCGCTCGCAAGTCTGCCAGGAATCATCCCTCTGGAACCATCCTTAGGCATAGGTGGGGTCAGATGGAGAATACTTCTTCTGAGAATGTCTGTGGTTGGTGACCAAAGAGCAGAGAGAATCTAATTTTTTTTTCCTAGTTTTTCTTTTACTTTAGGGACTTGAGACTGTCATGGGTTTCTAAATCTATCATCCCAAAACCAAATGATTTCTTGACAAAGCTTAGTGACTAAGTGTTTGGACACCTCTTACAAATGCCCATTTCTGCCCAACCAAACGGTCCTCCTCAATCTCATGGCATCCTATACAGCAAGCTGGATCATCACTTTTCCATATTCTTCCTTTCTTATCTGTCTTTGGGGACACCAAGCTAGATCCTCTTGCAGAAGGAATTTATTTCCCCACCACTTGGGACCTGCCTTGATGTCACTATCATCTGGGGGGGGGGTCCTCACAAACAGTCAATATTCTGCATGCCAGTCTCATGAGCTCATGGTTGGTTGACATGGGCATGAGCTGCACCCCTGGGGCAGCACTTGGCATGGAAGTGTGGCTTGTGCCATGTTTGCTGAGTGAGTGGCCAACCTTCCTCCGAGACCTGCTGGCCTGCTGTGCTCTATAGTCCAGGTCCTTAGCATCAGGTCAGCTGAGGAAGCTGGAAGCAGAGCTGGGCCTCAGGAGTAGAGCACGGTGATCCAGAAGGCTGAGGTCAGGGGCTGAGGATCACGGCAGCTGGTGGTGTTGGCCATCAGGACCGTTCCAAGCTGTCTGTCAGGCAGGATGGTCCCTGTCTTTCCACCTGCTAATTCTATGACCTGTACAAAGTAGCTCAACCTCGTTGAATCTCAGTTTTCTCATCTGTGATGTGATTTTAACAGCCTCTCCCTTGAAGAGGCATCTTGTGGATTAGGTTAGACAGTGCACTGAGAACGCTTGGCATGGTTCCTCACAGTCAATGCCTCGTGAACACGGCAGTCATCCTTGCAGCCTGTGCAGCAGTTTCAGGTACTGAACCTGATGATTTCACTTCAGCACATGGCAGCACAACCCTCTGCCACCCCAAAGCCCCACGCTTCCTGAATCTCTTAGTGCATTCCCCTAGGCAAAGTACCTCGCCTCCAGCACAACTCAGGCCGGGAACTGGCTTGGACAGTGTCTTCCTAGAAGCTTTGTAAATCTGCCTCTCTTATTTGAGATGCTGCAGAAAGGGGCATCAAATCCCAGCAGGCCCTAGTCCTGCTGCTTGCTCAGTACCTGGCATAGCTGATGTAGGCCCAGCAGCACTGAGCAGGTCAGCTCTACCCCCAAGCTCTCTCTTTCCTTCTTCCCCCAGCAGTGGGCTATCCTGGGCATCCACCAATTGTGGTGGTGACAGAGGCAAGAGGGCAAGCCCAGGGGCACAGAATTTTCCAAACCTCCTGCTGCACCATGCCCCAACATGCCATTGGCCAAGGCAAGGTGCATGGCCGATGGCACAGTATAGGGATGGAATATATCCTCTAGCTCTTTATTGAGAGGAACTTTGTGGCCCTAAGATAAAAGGTGTGGACACAGGTGAACACTGAATTGCATAGACTGGAAGTGTTCCTTGGCTGGCTAGCTGTCCTGGAGTGACCATCTTCAAAATGTTAATTTTTTTTTACATTAACAGATAGATTTTTTTTAAAAAAACCAGATAGATTATTTAATTCAGGCAATATAATAAAGCACTATCACTAGTAATACTTTGCACCTTCCAACATCTGGCAACTGTCCGATGTCGGCCCCAAGTCCAATGAGAGTCTGCGGTTGTACCGTGCAACACCCGCAAGTTCTCCCAAAGCACCCATAACACTTTGCTGGCCTCCGTCTGCAAGCTTCCTTCCTATCGCGGACGCTCCAATTATTGCTTCTCCCACTTGGGGGCGCTGTCGGCTTTGGTAGGAGTTAGACCCAGCTATGGTTTGCTAGTTAGTGAAGGCTCCCTCATAGTAGGAAAGTCTGTTACCATGGGGTGTGCAGGTCAGTGTCCTGGTTGTTGCCCATCTGGACATCCCATCTCATGTCTGTGGGTCCCTGTGCCACAGCAAGCTCTTACAGAAGTCACTCAGACACAGCACAGACATCTGCAGACAGTGACCCTCCAAGTCCTGCTTTCTTTCATGAGGACAAGCTGACTTCTTTTCGAACGATCTTATCTTTTGCAGCCTTAGATTCTTTAGCTATGCGTTGGGCAGGATGTATTATGGGGCTGCCATGAGAATTACATGATATAATTATAGAAAGCTCAGAACAATGTCTGGCTCAAATAAACAAGTGTCAAACAGACTCTCTGGAGTGGTCTGGCATATATGAATGCTCATTGCCACCTGAGCCTAAAGAGCTGGCAGAAGAGGCACACTATGCAGGCAGTGGCCAAAGAAAGGACCACTCCCACTAATGCTGTAGGTTGAGGTGCCGGGACAGAGCTCAGAGCCCTTCCTGCTCCCCGGCTAGTGGCCCTGCCTGATGTTTCCCTCTCATCCTGCCTGCTCTGTTAAGTCCATTTTGAAGGTGGGACGTGGCCATGCATGTGGCAATGATGTCAGGATGGGAGTCTAGATTTTCACCAAAAAGAAGTCCCAGGAGAGCTGGGCTGAGGATCAGACCTGCACAGCAAGCCGGAGAGCAACCGTCAGGAAAGGGCACGTCAGTGAGCGGCATCCCAGACATTTGCCCTCCTCCTCCACCAATCATCTCTCCCTTATGGAGGCTGGCCTGAGGTCACATGACAGAAAACAGAAGAAGGGGGTCAAGTCCAGCTGTGCGTGGTTCTTCCGTTAACCAGATGAGTGCTTTGTGTGTTCCACGTACCAGGCCAAAGGCCTTTCTGTGTAGCGTACTGTAGGATGCCCATGTGCGCATGAGAAACTTACAGAATCCCCCTCTTCAGACTCTTCCTGTCTCCATCAACGGCCATGACTGGGGAGAAGACTCTCCCAGCTAAGAACACAGTCCCAATATCCCCCTTCCCACGCATCACGGGCCATTCAGTCCATCCAAAATAGGAAAGACGCCATTTATCCAATTCATTTTTCCAGTGCCCCGAAACAATCCCCACCCCTCAGTCCACAGGGCCTGCACGATAAACAGAAAAGCTTGCCAAGCAGGGGGCAGTGCAGAAGGCAGTGTGGCTGCTTCCGGTGTCCGGCATCGGGCTCCCCTGGTGATGGGTGTCTGGGGCAGTTGAGCTCAGACACATTGCCCCATCTTTTCCACAGCTCATTGCCCCATTGAGATCATGATTGTGATCTGAACTCTTGACCTTGCCTAGCTCTTCCCAGACGCGTCACTCAAGCCACCAGAGGATGTCAGGAGGACGAGAGGAAGCTGGGCTCAGCGTTATGTAAATAGTTCACTGCCAGTACCTCCCCAGGGCTGAATCACCTCTGATCCTGGAAAGGGCAGCGCATAGCCGAGGTTATTCCAGGCACAGCCTCCCACCCCTGCTGCCCCCACGCATTCGGCCTGTGAGTGCTGGGGTCACTGAGCAGCAGCACACCCAAGTGAACACTGAATTGCATAGACTGGATGTGGTCATCAAGTGTCCTTTGGCTGGCTGGCTGTCCTGAGGTGACCATCTTCAAAATGTTAATATAAGACTCCAAGGTGTTTTCATCCCCTTGGTCACCATGCTGAGTACATACTGTTGGTGGGAAAGCATGCATGTTGTCATTCATTCTTTCAGTGAACCTTTCCTGAGCACATGCATGATGGCTTGTACTGGGGCAGCAGCAGTAAACAATGTCCCGTCTGTCATGAAGAGGACATGTGAATAAACAGGAGTTGCACCAGGGACAAGGGGAGGGGCATCCTTCCCAGAAAAAGCAAATCAACACTTATCCTAAAGAGCAAGTGGGAGCTGGCTGAGGAAAGGGCAGAGGCAAGGCAGGAGAGCTCTTCAGAACAGACTCAGGCTCTGGAAAAGTGCTAGAACTGGGAGGGGAAGCTTGAGGCTCCAGAGTACGCAGGACTTGCCAGATGCGCCAAGACATTTGGGCTTCCCCAGAAACACTGGGGAGCTAGAGGGAAGCCTCTGCAGGAGAGAAGCAAGATAGCTCTGCATTCTGTGTGAGGGGAAGTGCTTCCAAGTGGAGGAGGGCTGGGGGCCAGAGACAAGTTGTCTTGGTTGCTTTGCTCTCATTGCTGAGACAAAATACCCTGTATCCAAAGTTAGAGGAGGGAAGGTTTATTTAGCTCTTGGTTTACTGAGCTATCGTCCGTAATCAGCTGTCTCCAAGGCAGAGTGGCACGGCAGAGGACAACAGCTCGTGGCAGCAGAAGACAGCAGCAGCAACAAAAGGGAGAAGCAGGGTATTGCTTGTACTGTATGCAGGGTACCTGCCCTAGGGCGGGTGTACGCTCACACCCCCAATCCCAGCACTAGACAGTGAACCAACCACAAACTCTAGATTCAGCCGCATCTGAAACGCCCACCATGGCTGCAGGAGACTTCGAGGGGACATCTAGATGCAAACCATAGTGCCAGTGACGAGCAGGGAGAGCGGATGGTGCTTTGGACATAGATAATAGGAATAAAGGCAAAGACATATGGGCACACTCATGCACAAATGTGAGACTATTTCACCAGATGGTGGAACGTGATCAGATGTGACAATGCTCAGTAGGCCGCTTAGGCACCGCAGGGCTGGTGCAGTCATTCCCCGAAACAAGGGCCTGGGTGGAAGAGCGGGGTGGCATTCAGGCAGTGCTTTTTAGGCACATTGAGATCAGGGGCTGTATGACTACCAAATGAAATTGTTGGTGAGTCGGTGTCTCAGAAACAGGCAGAACACTATTATTTTTCCTAGCAGATATTTATTGAGTTCCCCCTCTGTGCTGTTGCTTCTGATACTCCCCAAAGGGAAGTGTCCATCAGGCACATGAGCATGCCTCAGACACTTCCTTGACAAGGTCTCCCCACAAACTGGACCTAGGAACTGGTGTTGGGGTCCACCTGTGAGACAACCTACAATTGGTCAAACCCACAGACAACCTGAGGGAACCCTCTGAGGATGAGATGGGACAAATTGTTTAAGGGGCAGCTGTAGGGAAGCACACACTAGAATGTTGTATGTCTCAGTTGAGGGAACAATGTCAATATTAACTCCTGGGTTTCCTTGTTTGTATTTTGCTTGAGGTTATGCATTTCAAAAATTCAGAAACTTTTCTCTGAGAATTTCAACAACCAGGCCATCCAAAGTTTGGAGCCAGGTGAGTATTTGTCCCTACTGAATTAAACCAGAATGTTGCTGACCTGTTTCTTCTTTCAATGCGGTACTGGGTCCTGAACCCAGGGCCTTGCACCTGTTAGGCACGTGCTCCACTGCTGAGGTACACCTCCAGCCAAGTGTCAGTTTTTAAAGGAGCTTATTAATAAGCTCACCCATGGTGGGCACCTGGGATCAGAACTAGCCTCTTTCCCAACGAGAGACTAATACATTTCTTCTCATTCATTAGCTTTGATTGAGCCAGAAAAGCAGTCTGAGGTCATCTCTTGGCTGGAAAGGGGACTCTGGGATTGATTAGTGATGCCTACCATGCACTGGCTATCCTGAAAGTGGAAACTGATGTCCAGTGGGGAAATGTACTTGATCCACAGTTCTGCTTCTGCTTAAAAGCATCCTACTTACATGAGATTGTTTTGCAACCCAGAATAACCAGACCACATGGGTGACCCAAGGTTTGAGACATGAACCCAGATTTTGTACCCTGGCACCAAACAATAATTGGTAAATAACAGTAATAGTAGCAGAGAGAAGAAACAGTTGGCAAGGCCACCCAGCCAAACTAATGACAGAGCTGAGAAGTAACTAAGTGGAGCCAGTGGCCCTCCGGGCCCTATCAGGCATTGACATTGAGGATTCAGGGAGATTGTCCGTCCTCCATGGCACGCCCTCCCTCTAGCTCTGTGCTAGTAGAGGGCCTGAGCTATGCATGCCCCCACCTCTCATGCCTCCCCTGGCCTGGCATCTGTGGCTCCTCCACCTGCCCACCTGTCGGAGTCTATTCCTTTGTTGATCATCTATGCTATCCTCAGGTTAGACTCCCTGATATAGAGCTGTCTACAATTTGCAAGGGCCCTTTTCCTCATTGCCATCTCTTTTCATGCTTTCTGGTGAAATAATGGGCTTTCTGCAGGTCCCCAGTCCCAGGAGGAAACGGAAGCTCAGGAGATTCCTTCCCTCTTTGGTGGCCCTTCTCCTGGCTTTGTTTTTTTGCCTTTCAGATGGGCAATACTTAGGTACTAATAGCCAAAAAGCCCTCAATAGGGAACCAGGAGTGCTTCTGCTCCCATTTGGCCATGTCTTGGAACATTCTTGGTCATCATAGCTGGGGAGGAAGTGCCACTGCTCTCCAACGGTAGAGGCTAGAGTGTCGCTAAGCACCCCTAGTACAGAGGACAGTCCCTGTCACAGAGAATTATCTGGCCCAAAACATCAACAGCACTAAATTTAAAAATACCTCAATAGAAGAAGCCAAAATGAAGTCCCAAGCATGTCCCCGAAAAGCTCCTTGAAAGCCTTTTCCAGTTCCCCAAGTTGGAGGACAGCTTGTATGCTGCTGAAGTCTTCCAACTCTGTCTACAGCTATTCACCTCCTCGCTCACACTGTTCACAGTGTCCCCCTCAAGTCCAGTGAGCTCCTTGAGGTCCACTCCACTGACACCTAGGAAAGACTCTTGTGCCTAATCCCTGTATTTGGACAAAGGAGTACACAGGAGGAGCTAGGGTGCTTTGTCTAGGGACGTCACCAAGTCATTCGCTACTCAGCATCATCTTCTCTTCTCAGATGTGATTCTTGAATGCCTGGGCTGCAAATGGGAACTCCATCAACCCCAGCTTTTTCAATCTGAGACCTTGGCCAAACTTTACCTGGCAGCCCTGATACAGAGCACGCATCGCTCCCTGGGAGAGACGAGCAAGACTCTGCAAGGTAACTTTGCCCTGGAGCCCGGGGCTGGAGCGCTGAGTGTCCGTGGGTGGGCAATGCGACCCCAGCCTGGTGTGTGACTATCTGAGGCTCCTGCTTGACAGCTAGGGAGCAAGGTTGCATGTCGCGAGTTCGTAGTATATTTTGTCTCTGTTTCCTCAGCCGTGAGTGGGGTAATAGATCTTATCCGGTGGCTTTGAATCTTCAAGGAGGTACTAGATGGGGTGTTGGGGGACAATGCCTGGCACCAGTGTGAAGCGATTAGCAGCCCCAGAATAACCAAGTCTTATCTGGCCAACTCAGATGCAGAGAATCTACTTACATCTTGGAGAAGAGAACATGGGCTGTGTTGAGTCATTCGAGCGCTTTCTGGAAGGAAGATGCGGTTCTGAAATCTGTGACTTGCTTGCTCTAAATATGCTGCTTAGACATGTGTGCCTCTTACCTTCCTTTCCTTATGTCTTAACGTCAAGGATTTGTCATTTTCTCTTTTTAAAATGTTTCTTCTTAAATATGAATCATCTCAAGCTTCTTACTGTTCTCCATGTCTTTCCCAGCTCCACTATGAGCTTTTCCTCTAGGGAGCAGATTAACACTACCTCAGGCTGACTCACAGCGTGGTGCTGTGGAAAATCCGTGGTCACCAAAACCAACCACCCTGCTGGTCATGGGACCGCATTCCCAGGATGTGGCAGCAAAGCCCTGTTTTTCTGGAGCCAGGCAGGCAGCCAGGGTTCCCACTGCCCTTGCGGGTCCTCCCTGAGCCTGGAGCATGCACTCACAGCCTGCTGGAGCCTGCCTGACTATGGAGCTCTGACCTGACTTTTCTTGACAGAACTGGTGGGAAGAACTGGCTTTCCTGCAGAACAGTGACAACCCTGGCTCTCACTGGTGGTCTTCTTTGCCCTTCCTTGTCATTTGCCCCAGGACCCTTAAAAGCAGGCCTGGATTCTCTTCTCTTCTGTGCTTGGATCAGAACATACTGATCAGGCCAGCAATGAAAGGTTTTTTTAACCTTGACAATCAGTACATAGGGAAGCAAGAGAGAGAGTTTCAAGGGGAAACGGAATCATTGTTGATGTTACACTCTTTAACAGGTCTCGAATGGTGTCATGAAAAAGAAAAGATTTGATCTGAAACCTTCCTGTTCCTGGCTGGCCCTGGCTAGAAAGGCCAGCAAAGAGGTAGCAATGAGACCCGAGTGTTCTAGACTGTCACAACTTTCCAGGTTTGCTGCCAAGCACCAGGAGCTGATCAGGCCTGGGACTTGTGTCTCCAGGATTTTCCTATGCAGAGTTGTAATCCTTCCTGTGCCTTTAACAGCAGAACAGATCTTGCGATTGTTGCTTTTGTGTTCTTAAGGACCTCTGCATGCGGTCCTGGAGTCGCTTTTCATGGGTTCTCAGCACCACACGGTTTCTTTCCACCAAATACTGAAGTACTATGCTACCGAGGCAGAATGTGCTTCTCTCTAAGATGGAGGCCAAGGGAAACGGCCTTCTTACTGAACACGAGCCAACCTCCTTGGTATTGGAAGACCTCAGGAGCATCCGATCGAATGACTTCCTGCCTGAGATGAGGCCTTTACTTAGCTTGGGGGAAAGGTCAAACTTCTGTCTTCCACTTCCACTGGCCCAGTTGCTACTTTCTCCTTCCTTCTGTCAACAACATTGAGTGCTTAGTCTCTGCCAGTTCAGGGACTTGTCATCTATGGAGGCAGACAAGCAAATCCAAAATGATGGTTAAAGCATGATAAGTAGCATTATCCATAGCTATACCACACCACTCCTGCAGTTCAGTGTACCAGGCATTCATGTGTACTATCTCGTTTACTTCCTCTGCTGGGGGTGAATGACTGCCAGGAACACGCAGAAAAGAGGTGGGCAGTAAGCTCTGGAGGAAAATGATCCAGAGCTTGGAACAAGGCCTGGTGCTTACTAGGTACTCAATAAACCTTGCCAGAACAGGGCCAAGTGCCAGAGGGTGGTAGAGGTTATGCTGAGGAAGAGGGATCCTTAGTGCCTCTTTCTTCTGCGGTGTGACACACATATTGGTTTCCTACTTGTGTCATTTTTTATTTCCTGGAATCTTGAGCTCATTGCTGATGGGTTCTGTTCATTTCAACCAATATTAACTGAGCACCACTGTGGCGGATCCTGGGAATGAGTAAATCATTAATGTGTCTGCTCCAGCAGCCACGGGTGCAGTGGTACAAAGGGGAGCACTTCCCAGTCCTCTTTATGGTCCAGGAAGCTTATATTTGTAATCCCAGGGAAAAGTTATTTGACTTCTAGCAAGTTAATTCCAGTGTACCACTTCCAGTGCAATCCATGGCGAGAATAAAGACACTAATGCATATGTGTAGTATAGGGAGCCCAGGGGCCCTAAATCCAGCCATGATGTTGGCTATCCAGAACACTCTACCCAGGGCAGAACCCAGCTTTTATTACTTCATGAAGGGAGTGGCTTGAGGATGAGTGACTGTGAGGATGGTGGGAGTGCGTGAGGGCTGTGAGCTGGGCTAGCGAGGAGGCCTGAAATCACCTCTGTGATAAGCAGAGAGAAGGATGTGCAGAAGAGTAACCTGCATCCACCACTGTGACATGTAATGTTTTGGGGGTGGTGCTTCAGCTCTAATGTGTAATCTTTTATGTCCTGGGAAGTCCTAGCCTCTTATCTTCAGGCTGAGCCCCAACCCACAGCGTGGAGCAGAGCAGAACTCTCCATCCCACCCTGGCTCACACATGTTTATTTGGGAGCTGGGGGTGAGAGTGGGTGAAACACTCACCTGTTAATTTACTTCAAAGATTACACATCAGCACCTGGACAGGGACCAATTTGTGTTGCTTAAAGCCAATTGAAAGGATAAGGGAAAGTCCTAGCCAGCTCTGTACATATCAATACATAGAAATAAAGCCAGGTTTAGCCAAAATGGAGATAATCACTCTTCTTTCAACAAGAGTCATTCCGATGGTCCTCCACAGTAGCAGACTGTGATAAGATCGGTTTTATGCAGAAAAGAAATGTTAGCAGTGGTGGTGGTTCTGCCTTGCATAATAAGGTTAGGGAAAGCCTCTCTGAAAAAGGGACACATAAGTAGGCCCCTGATGAAGGAAGAGGCAAGGATCAAGACGTACACTGTCCTGAAGGACAAGTCCAGGGGAGGCATGTTTGGGACACAGTGAGCAGAGCAGCGAGGAAGGGTAGTGCCATAAAGATCTTGGAGCTCTGCACAGGACTTTGGCTGTGCACCAAGGGTTTGGCATGCCACCAGAAGCTTGCGAGCCACAGCTTAGAACAACTCCAAGACCATGGGGTGGGCTTTGTTACAGTGTGGGCTGGCTCATCCCATCCTCCTGGAAGTGGCCAGTGACAGAGGCCCCCAGTTTGGAGATCTGTGGGGCTCAGCACCAAGAGCCAATGGGCAGATGCTTCAGGCCTATATTGTCCTTCAGCAGATGGTCACTGTGCCCTGCCTGGTTCCTGCCCTGCTCTGGGTGCTCAAATTCAGAAATTCTCAGCCCTCAAACTACTCATTCCTGAAGAGGGAAAGGTGGAAGAGGAAGAGGGTGGAAGAAAGAGCCTGTAATAAATATTTACAATGCAACACAAGTGTCCATTGGCCAGTTTTGTAATGCACAGTGGCTATGGAAGGTCATTAGGGGAAGCTGGGTGAGGGGACTCTCTGTACTACTTTGAAAACTTTTTGCTAGTTTTATTTTATTTTATTTTTTAAATTTTTTATTTATGTGTGTGTGTGGCCAGCTCAGCTCACCAGGGGGCGGGGCTGGCTGGCATATGGTGCTGGGAGATTGAACCCTGGTCCCTGTGCTTTGCTAAGCTTGTTCTAAGTAGGTGCTTTAGACCACTGAGCCATCTCACCAGCCCATGCTAGTTTTAACTATTGGAAAAGTATGTAGTTATTTTATACACGCATACACTAAGTAAATGGAGTGTGATGCCACTGCGTCGTGGTCAAGGTGGTGTGGAGGGTGAGGGGTGCCGCCCGCTGCGCTCTCACGCTGGTCATTACCTCCACGGGTCATTGTCTGCTTTCTTTTAGTAGCTCAGTTACCTGGGAAGGCCAAGGAGAAATCCCCCTTCAAGAGGATGAGCATTTCTTTGAGGATCCATGACTCATCAGTCACCAGAGTTGGTAATGTAGCATCTATCTTTACGCTCTGAGAAAGCTTGAACAAGTAGTTTTAAACAGGCAATTGTCCCAGAGTCAACACAATAAACAAATAACAAAACACAACAAGTTAGCAGTATACATTCTCCACCATAAATGCCAAATAGTCCAGACAAAGAACGGACAAGAAGGCTGGGACAACTTGGAAACAAAGAAAATGTAATGCTGCTAAAGAGAGGCACTGGGGGGCTGGTGAGATGGCTCAGTGGACTAAATGCCTGCTTAGGCGAGCTCAGGGACCAGGATTCGATCCCCAGTACTGCATGCTGCAATGGCCCCACCCCCAGGCAGACCCACTGAGCCAGGGATCCAGTCCAACTAAGTCGGAGCGTGGTGGCGCATACCTATAATTCCAGCCCTGGGGAGGCTAAAAGCAGCAGAATCACTACAGGTGGGAAATGCATAGTGAGACCCTGAACCAAATACATTAAAAAGAAATGAGACAGAGAGAGAGACAGACAGAGAGAGATAGACAGAAACAGAGAGAGACAGACAGACAGAGAGACACAGACAGACAGACAGACAGACAGACAGACAGACAGAGACAGACAGACAGAGAGACACAGACAGACAGAGAGAAACAGAGACAGATAGACAGACAGAGACAGAGACAGACAGAGACAGAGACAGACAAACAGAGACAGAGAGAGACACAGACAGACAGAGAGAGACAGAGACAGACAGACAGAGAGACAGAGACAGACAGAGACAGATAGAGACAGAGACAGAGACAGAGACAGACAGACAGAGACAGAGAGAGAAAGAGAGAGAGAGAGAGAGAGAGA